AACTTATATTTACACTAGTAACTTTTCCCGTCGCACACTAAGGGGGGGGGTGCAATCAATTGTCATCTACAGTCAGTTATTAAATTTTTTAAATAATAAACTTTTTGCATAACCTGACATCATTTTCTTTTGATGTATCATATGCTAGCATTAAGCTAGTTGTTAATTTTGTAATCAGTCAGAAGCCTTTTTCAGGTCAAAAACAAATTTACCTTATATTTAGCTTATGCTTTCTATTTAAAGCAAATATATGTCTATTATCATCCAAAGTCTCATGTGATATGTCGTATGTCGCTATAGGTTCATTAATAACGTACAATATGTAGTGCCTATTTGGTAGTCCCTTTTTGTTTTTTCTATCTGAATATATTCAATATATTCTCTTCTTTTATTTGCTACGTCGCATGTTAGGATTCGATCAGTTGTTTATTTTGAACTCAGTCTGAGGCCTTCTGTAAGTCAATAAATCAAAAAATTTATTTTATGGTAAATCTATTTTTATCCATAGTGTCCAATGATATCTTGTATTTCGCTACATATTTAGATACATAGGAATTGTTTGCATGAAATCAAATATTTGCTGTCTTTTTCATTTTATTTCGGATCTACTTTGTGTGAGTACTAGAAGCACAATTCGCTAAGGATTTCGGCTTAGTTGTAAAAGACATGTCGTAGATTGCAAATTTTAGATTCCCCATGTCCCTTTTAACATCTTTTATCAACGTCTGTTTGCTTTGCAATTTTTAGAAGGTTCAGATTATAAGCAGAAATCTGAATTGTGTTTCGAAACTATTTTACGGATTTTGTAATTAGATGTCGCTATCGCGTCCGTATTGAAGCCATTTTATTGTTGCTTCTTAAAAGGCAGAAAATATTGATTTTTCACGTTGAGAACTCCTATGAATAGATGTTCTGATGAGACCTATTAGGTCGAAATACATATCAACAGATACATAGGAATTGTTTGCGTGAAATCAAATATTTGCTGTCTTTTTCATTTTATTTCGGATCTACTCTGTGTGAGTACTAGAGGCACAGTTCGCTAAGGATTTCTGCTTAGTTGTAAAAGACATGTCGTGGAATGCAAATTTTAGATTCCCCATGTCCCTTTTAACATCTTTTATCAACGTCTGTTTACCTTGCAATTTTTAGAAGGCTCAGATTATAAGCAGAAATATGAATTGTGTTTCGAAACTAGTTTACGGATTTTGAATCTATTTGTATTTATAGCATCCTATGAAATTTCGTATGTCGCTATACCTTCTGTGTACTACCCTTGTGGTAGTCACCTTATTTGTTTTTTCTTTGTTACTTAATATATTTATTATTTCCTCCGCTTTCATTTGCTGTGTCGCCTGTTAGAATTCGTTCAGTTGTTTATTTTGTACATAGCCACCTGTGTACTTTTGTACTTCTTGAAGTCAATAAATTAAAATTTGTCGGTTAGTTAATTATTATTATTATCCATAATATGTATTATCATCCATAATAACTATTATTATCCACAGTGCCCTATGACATCTCGTATGTAACTATACGTGCGTTAATAATAAAGACATTGCGTAATGCCCTTTTGGTAGTCGTGTTGTTTATTTTTTCTATCTTAATGTATTCTTGATATTCTCCCCTTTCATTTATCGTATCAAACGCTCCAATCGGACCAATAACAAAGGAGATATGATGAAATGCCCTCTTAGCATTGCCGCAATGTCTGTTTTTTCTACCCCAACATATTAGCTACCTTCTCTCCTTTCCAATGATCTATCATACATCACGATCTGATAAACTATTTCACCTCCAACACATAACGCTCAAAAAATGAGCAGAATGACCCTTAGCATTTTCTTATGGGATTTTGAATGAGAAATAAAGCGGAAACGGTATGGCAGCGTTTTTACATGTATAGCTTTTTCTTAATTTTATTTACTATTATTCAATTATTTAATTTTACGTTAATATTCTGTTTATCTTGATTTAATTTTATGTAATTCTATTTACCTTTATTTAGTTTTAGTAAATTTTATTTAATCTTATGTAGTTATAAATTTATTTTATTTTAAATAATTGATGGATTCGACCGTTACTTGATGGAAATTTATTTTATGTAACAATAAAACACTGAAAACTTTGTTTTTAAATTTCCACAAAATTGATTTTAACTCTTATCACTACAGCTGTTTCGGATGATTGCCTTTCTCAAGTGATCTATTTTTGGCTTGCGTTTACACTTTATAGTCTCTAATGAAATAGGTTGAGGAGCGGAGAACTGTTTGTCTTAAGTTGGTCATTCAGAACTATATCTGTGTTTTTTAATTTGTTGATTTCCATAGATTCTAACATAGATAGCTTAAGTCCTTTATTTTGAATGTGAAGAATTTTAAATTTGTCATCAAGAGAATGATTATGATCTAGAAGGTGAAGTGCGTATGTCGAATCTGTTTTTCTATTATTGGAAGCCCTTTAATGTTCTGCTATTCGTTTATTAAAGTTTCTACCAGTTTGACCGATGTAAGATTTTGGGCAGTCGCCACATTTAAGTTTGTACACACCAGTATGTAAGTGTTTTTTATTTTGGCTATTTTTGTTGTTATTTTGCCTGTATATGTAATCGAGCAGAAGGTACTGGGTTTTTTCTCTGGTAAAGGAAATATTAATTTCAGGGCTTTCTTGTGTAGTTTTTGATTTAACATTTTATTAACAGCCTTATTATTATTTTAGTAACCCACATCCTCCTAAATTATACTCTTTGATTAAACTACGCAAACCGGATTACCCAATAAGACCTGTAGTTTCTTTTTATACAACTCCGTCATATAAACTTCCAAAAAAAACTGCTAGAGATTATTTTAGAACATACTAAATTTTCACCTAAATTTAGTTTATAAAATACAACATTTTCAATTACCTAACAACTCCAGATTAATTTCATTTGACGTAAAATTATTATCAGATATTTTTATGGATCATCTAGAGACAAAGAATTTAAAACATCCCGTATTCAAATAGTTTTTATATTGGTGAAGATACGTAGACTTCACACACACTTCATAGTAATATTGAATTTACAATAGAAACAGAACAAAATCAATCCATAAATTTTTTAGATTTGAAAATTATTAGACTTAAAAACAAACATCACTTCTCCATATTTCATAAACCTACCCATACTGACACGACTGTACACAATTCATCATCCCATCCAACACAACATAAACTGGCAGCATATCATATTATGTTACATAGATTAACAGATATTCCGATGTGAAAATACAAATTTGAGACAGAATTAAATATAATTAAGCAAATAGCAGTTAACAACGGATACAACGAACAAACAATTAATAAAATGTTAAATCAAAAACTACACAAGAAAGCCCTGAAATCAGTATTTCCACCACCAGAGAAAAAACCCAGTACCTTCTGCTCGATTACATATACAGGCAAAATAACAACAAAAATAGCCAAACACATAAAAAAGAAAGGAATAACACCAGCTTTCCGAACAAATAACAACCTAGGCAAATATATCAAAAATAACAAGAGCCAAAATAAATAACACTTACATAGTGGTATGTGCAAACTTAAATGCGGCAACTGCCCAAAAACTTATATCGGTCAAACTGGTAGCAACTTTAATAAACGAATAGCAGAACATAAAAGGGCTTTCAATAATAGAAAAACAGATTCGACATACGCACTTCACCTTCTATATCATAATCATTCTTTTAATGACAAATTTAAAATTCTTCACATTCAAAATAAAGGCCTTAAGCTATCTTTGTTAGAATCTAGGGAAATCAACAAATTAAAAAACACAGATATAATTCTGAATGACCAACTTGAGACAAACTGTTCTCTCCTCCTCAACCTATTTCATTAGAGACTATAAAGTGTAAACGCAAGCCAAAAATAGATCACTTGAGGAAGGCAATCAGCCGAAACAGGTGTAGTGATAAGAGTTAAAATTAATTTTATGGAAGTTTAAAAACAAAGTTTTCACTGTTTTATTGTTATTTTATTTTGGTAAAGCGTTAACATTTTTTAAACCTCAATTTATTTTTATAGTAAGTGTATGTTTATCTTACCGAAAGGCATATAATAAATATTTGTTATACGTCATTGATCTTATTTTATAATTACAGTAACCAATATTTTTAGTAATTTTGCAACAAAATTAATTACTGTGAAGTAGTAAAATTTCTTAATAAAAATTAAATCGTCATTGTGTGGAATAAATATTAGCAATACATCAACAGTATCATTCTAAGACGAACAAAATATGATTGAAATGTCAAATGTTGGTAGTTCAGATTTATTTCGGGTGTCATCGTTACCTTACCCGACAAACCTTAGACAAGGAAAGAGAGGGGACGCGTAATCGTATGGAATTGACTGAAGCCTAAATTGGCACCAACCGACACCAAAAAACTTGCCAGGTCATATTTTATGTCTTCAGTAGATTGAGAATAATGGATATATATGAATAAATAGATTTTTTTAATTTATAATTGAACACTGACATAATGATCACTTTTTGAACATGATTTTATCATTACATATTTTTAGTAGATCGATATATTATTTTGAATAAATCAGTAAATTGAAGTTAAAATCAGTAAATCTACTGAAAAATCAGTAGACCTAGTAACCCTGCCAGAGGTAGTAATGGGCAACGTACAGTCACAAAACATGGCGGTCACATCGAAACTGGCTTGACTTTTTGAAAGGTTTAAGGACTCCTAACTTGAACTATCCCAGCATTTTTTTTTATTTTTTTCACTTGATGTTGGTACCGCATCATTGGCATGTAATAGATTAGTTAATTTGGAAAAATAATTGGTTTCATTGTTTTATTCTTTTATAGTCAAGTATGAAATTATTTTTGGGTATATTTCTAATTTTAGCTTAGATCCGAAACGACGAATTTGTTTTTTTGGATATGTATAGATGTATAATAATTTTAATCATTTCTAAACCATTAACAAATCTTTTTTTTTTAGATTTCCTTCACAAGTAGAATCTGGACTTATTGAAATTATCGCCCCATCTTCTGGATACTATCCAAATTTCGACAAGCTTCGAATTACATTGGGAGATTCATCAGAACGTGTTAAATGGAGATCAAAACAAAATTTAGACTATGCCTTTTTAATGTCCTACTGTCAAACGAAAGGTAATATTTTTTACATATTTCCATCATAATGTTACACTCTTATTTACATTAAAAAACACCAACAAATTAGATACGGCCAAAAAACTTTCTAGTTGCTGTATTTTAAAAACTAACTGAGATATGCTCTTTTAAACTTCGCATTAGCGTGTGACTGGTACCGTTTTGGAGGTCTTCATATATTAGCCATTTAAATTTAAAATGCTCAAGAAATTCTTAACTTTCGTAAGCATGTAGGTTACAAAATATAAAAAAATGGTTTTTCGATGGACAGTCTAGTTCGAAAATTAAGCGAGAAATAACAAAAAAAAAAACAAACAAATTTTGTTTTTCAATTCCAAATCAGGTAGACTATTGCATAATATAGAAGAATGTATATACACACAATCAAACATACGGAATCGCCATTAATTTTAAACTAATATTTATTTCTTTTGAAACAACTTGCTGTTGTCGCAAGGAATAAAGATTTTTATATAAACAAACCGACACAACAATCAGATAACACAGCTCGGTGCGTTATACATTATTTGCTTTAGTTGTAAATCAGACAAAAATAAGTAAACTAACTTTTGTGTTCAAAAACGAAAATATGCCTTACGTGGAGTTGAGTTAACGGATGTGCAAAGGGAAATATGATTGGTCTTGTGGAACAAGGAATGTCTCAGGAATGCATCGCTGCAGTGGTAGGCATAACACAGAGCGTTGTGTTAAGAATCTATGCTAAATATAAGGAATTAGGAACCCCTAAGAATAGACCAAGACAAAGTCGCCAAAAAGTTACAACGGCTCACCACGATCGTTTTATTGTTCAAGTAGCTAGAATAGGGCCAACAATTTTTCACCTGCAGCTCCAAAAGCAACTTTTGGAATCTACAGGTGTAAGTATTTCAGTTGAAACGCTAAGAAAAAGACTTCGTGCACAAGGACTATACACAAGTAGACATTAACGGGTTTCCGAATTATCCACGCAGCACAAGATTGATATTCTAAAATCGTATCTTTAACACCAAAACTGGAACATTAGAAATTGGCAAAATGTGCTATTTTCAAACGAAACCAGGATCTGTGTAAAATCAAATGACCGATGAATTCGTCTACATAGAGAGTGAGAAAGACAAGCAAGAACGAAAAGCGCCAGATCGGTAAACAGATGTAAAGGAGGAAGTATATTGATTTGGTTCTAGAACTTGTGAAGGCTCTGAAGAGTTGCAATGGAAGAAAATTTAATTTTCATTAATGATAAGGCACCTCCTCATATCAGCAGAGTGACTATAAATTTCCTTGAAGCAGAAGATATCACTGTTCCGTAGTGGCCTGCCTGCTCACCCGACCTTAACACAATAAAGGATTTGTGAAATATGCTTAAAAGAAAAATTTGAGCTTTCCGGGATAATCTACAAAACACCACCCAGCTAGTATAAGCTGCTTTTGAAGAATGAGTTATCGTACCACAACTAAATGTTGACCGTTTGTTTAGGAGCATTTTATACTCTGTTGTTTACTTATTACGAGTATTTTGGTTTTTCGTATGTTCAAATCGAGATCGATTCTTTACAGTTCTCAACGACACTGTAAAGTAATGTTTACAGATCTTCTTGAATAGAAAGGTCATTATCATCGCATATCACTAAAAGGTCATATTAGCATCGATAAGAGCGTTTATGATTATATAGAATTTATTGTTTGTAATAAATTTATAATTTATTGTATAAAAAATTGTTTATGTTATTAGTAGAAGAATTGATCTATATATAAAAAATTAAATTTCTATTGAAAAGAAGAACACTGTTGTTTTGTTGATTATTCCGCGTAAATATTTTTGAGTTATTTGCTATCTAAAATTTGCAATCTGTCTGAACTTTGAATGATAAACAAAACTAATTATTGTTGCCCGTTATCATTAAAAGTCATTTTTAAAAAATAAATAAAAATATGCGATAGGGAATTCCGGTAATGCATTTTAAGAGAAATGGTAATTTTATCTGCACCACGAGAACGTCACATTGCTAATCTCTACCGCAAAAAAACAGTGCACTTATCTTTTGGTTTTCAATGTGTTTCGGTATGTGTACGTTCGCTTGTTTATATATATATATATATATATATATATATATATATATATATATATATATATATATATATATATGTATAGATATATGTATGGAACCTAGAGCTAAGATTGATACTATTACAAGAATTAATATTAAACTCGACAGTCTTCCGTGTTGATACGCGTCGATTATCATTGCGCCGAGCTTTCGACATCCTCTGATGATCGAAATGATCTTCTAACTTTAAAAAATATTTTTGGCTGATTGGTAATAGAATTAGCGTAATTTACTATTTTCTGCCATAGTGTTGGACGATTATTTAATTCTTGTGCGTTTACCAGTGATTTCATCAACAACAGAAATAAAAATCTAAGGGATTACATCGGGTGTTCTAGGCGATAACGGAACTTCACTACTTCTGCCAATCCAACGATGAGAAAATTGCTAATCTATAGTACATTTGAAAACAATTGATAGCACAATTTTTATAGCAAAGTTTTGAATACAGGCTTGGCCAATGCAGGAAAAACGTAATAATTGATACCTATTTATCTGAATTTTCACTCGACTTTGATATGACCACCCCGACAAACCTTAAATACAATACATCATATAATGCAAATGAGCAAACCCTAACAGCGTAACTAATAAACCAAGTATAAAACTTATACTGAGAATAAATCAGGTATAGGCAAAATCTTTACCAATAAACACGGAATAACTTATAGATTATACTTGATATAAGAATTTATTCCAAGATTATACCGACCCGCACCCTAGTTTAAGTCTGGTATAACGGTATAACCTATTTTATAAATGTGAAAGTCATCAGTGACAAGAATATATTATTTTTTGTATTAGTTTGTGAGCAGCTATTTAATAAAAAAAATGTGTTTAAGAAGTGTTGCGGCTGTCGATGAAGTTGATAATTTAATTAACATGATGGAAAATACACGATAAAGAAAAACTTTTAAAGAAATAATAAATCCCTTTTCAAAACACGGATAGAGAATTTAGAATAAAATATCGGTTTTCTAAAGTCGGTGTAAGGTTTTTTGCAATTTTTAAATACTCAAACTCAACATATAAGCAAAGAATATAGTCTATATCCATGCTATATTCTTTGATATAAGATATTAAATAAAGATATATATGGTGTCAGTTGTCATTGTCAGTTTCAAAGAAAAATCAAAATTGACATATTTCACTCAATATTTCGTTGTTCCATGTATTTATGCAAAAGATTGCGACATTGCCAAACTATTATTTCGGAATAAAGTGGGAATACTTATAACTAACTTATACCGAGTTTATTTGTAACAAATTATTTTAGTATTATATTTACCTTATACTTAGGATAACTATTCTAAGTATAAATACGGAATAACCTTAGAATACGAGTGTTTTATTAGTAAGACAGTAAGAGATTAGTAAATAACTGAACGCCTTAGTGACGGAGAACATAGAATTACTTTAATAAAAAAAAACTAAAATATCAATATTATGTACCCACATTAATTTTATAAAAATACTAAATATTGGTTAAGCACATTTCCTTACAATTTAATAATAAATATATTTCGATTACTAGCGTCAATAAACTTATAATTAGTAATATAAATATATAATTACATACCCTAATACTTATTGTTGTCTTCTTCTGAGTTATTTTTATCACCTCCGCTTTCTTTTCTTTGGAGTGGACGTTTCCGTTTTCTCCGTATAGTGAGGGAATGGGTTTTCTAACGTTTCTTAAAGTTGTTGAAATTCTTCATTATTCTTGCATAATATTTTGGCCCCCAATCTCCATTTCTTGTACGTAATTGTACCACTTTTGGCTTATATGCTTTATTAGTGATTATTTAACTTGTGGGTTTAGTCAGTTTGCTCTATTTTTTTCTTTCTGATTTCTTGTTCTGCTGGCTCTCTTTTTGGCTCTGTTTTTTTTTCCTCATCATTTCTCGTTTTTCCTGATTAATGTCTCTAAATCTTCCCATGTGAATTCCATATTCTTCTTTGATAGTGCTTTTACTTAGTGCTTTTTTTATGACGTTTTCGACCGCTAGGAATTTTCCTCTATTTCTTGTGGATTGTCAATTGTAGGAACGTCTGCTTACTAGTTTTTGAGGTTCGACCAATTCGTTTTCTTTTTTTCGAACGGGTTGGTAGAGAATATGTAAAGTAGCTTGGTCCGATGGACCCAACTGCCATGTTTTATGCGTTGTTCACTGGATAATGATTTAATATTCTTCCGTTTCTGTTTGTAGCTTTATTTTTCCAGGCTGAAGATCTGGAGTTGAGGTCTCCTATTATTATGGACGGTTCTTCTTTTTTTAAGTTGTTATTTTTTTAAGAATCTGTTGGCTTTACATATGCTGAAGTGATCCTTATGTCACCTTATCTTATCTAGACTTTTATTATTGTCGCTTCTATAGTATTTAGATGTGGCGTCTATTCTAATGTATGGTCTATTCCTTTTCTCACTAGAATAAAGTTCCTTCTAAATTTGCTCTGCAGTCGTTTCTGTAGATATCGTTTCCTGGAAACTTGATGTTGATGGTATGAGTTAGTTTAGTATATTGTAATACTAGGACATCCATTTTATATCTGTTTATTAGTTCGTCCACATGAGATCTACTGAAATTGTAACATCAGCTCCTATCCTTTACGTGAGACTGACGTCACAAGTATCCCAGGCGCCACGGAGTCTGTTATCATTGATGGCCATCAAAGTAGAGGGCACCTTTGTACGCTTACCACTTTCACATTGTGCACAATTGGCACAGGTTGTTAACATTCAGGAGAGGTTTGTTGGTATTTTGTGATTGATTTTTTATTCAGACTCCTTATTTTTATTTTCACAGTTAAATCTAAAATGGTACAGAAGATTATATTTTGGTGTTTTGGTAATGTGTAAGACAATTCTGAGAGTTGCAAGCATTGTATTAAAAAAATATGCAAATGTTATGTAGTTGTGTTATGTTATTGTAATGTGAATTAAAAAAAAATTTGAAATTCCTTTGCTATAAAGACTATTTTACGTGTTTTTTTTTTATAATTAGGTCATTTAAATTTAAGTGCACAGAGAAAATTAACAATTATCCTATAGCTTGGGATATATAAAAAGGGAGATTATAAAAGGCATTCTTCTTCTTACGGTGCCTATCCGTTCCGGATGTTGGCGATCAACATGGCTATCCTAACACTGCTTGCTGCTATTCTGAATAGTCCGGTTGTCGATGTATTAAACCACTTTTTCGGGTTTTGAAGCCAAGATATTTTTCTTCTCCCTGGTCCTCTCTTTCCAAATACCTTGCCCTGAAGAATGAGTTGCAACAAGCCGTATCTCTGTTCAGTTCTTATAACATGGCCAAGATATTCTAGTTTGCGCTCTTTGATGGTGTTAATAATCTCGCATTCCTTGCCTATTCTACGTAGGACCTCAACATTAGTCACACGATCCACCCATGAAATTCTTAAGATACGTCTGTAACACCACATCTCGAATGCCTCGAGTTTTCTTAAGGAAGCTTTGGAAAGTGTCCAGGCCTCTACTCTGTATAATAAGGTAGAAAATACATAGCATCTAATAAGAGAGATTTTGGTAGCAAGTGGTAAATCATGACTTCTGAAAAGAGACTTTATCATTATGAACGCTGATCTCGCTTTTCCTATGCGTTGTTTTATTTCACTGGAGTGATCCCATTGGCTGTTAATATTGGTACCAAGGTATGTGTAGCTGTCCACTCTGTCAATTGGATGTTGGTTAACCAAAAGCTGTGTATTTAATATTTCGCGCTTACTGACTACCATGTACTTTGTTTTCTTCGTATTAAGATCAAGTCCGTGTTCTCTACTTATATGTGATATATGCGACATTATTCTTTGCAAACCGTCCAGACTATCTGCAAAAACTACTGCGTCGTCGGCAGATCTAATGTTGTTTAGACGCATTCCGTTGACTAATATGCCTTCTTGTAGTTCCCCCAGCGCTTGCTCCAAGATATATTCAGAGTATATATTAAATAACACCGGGGATAGAATGCATCCTTGCCTCACTCCTCTATCTATGAAGACTGCCTCTATCTATGCTCTGTCAATTGATCATCCACTTTAATATTGGCTGTTTGGTTGTAATATAAATTATAGATGATTCTCAAGTCCCTATCATCTAACCCCACTTCTTTCAAGATGTTTATAAGTTCATCATGTTTTACTCTATCAAATGCCTTTTTGTAGTCGATAAAACAAATATACACATCGCATTTAACATCCCTGCATCTTTGCATAAGCACTTGGACAGTGAATAGATCCTCTCGGGTGCCTAAAGAATCGCGGAATCCAAACTGCGTTCATGATACTTGTTCTTCGCATTTTTTATATATTCTGCCGTGTATCACTTTCAAGAACGTTTTAAGTAAGTGGCTCATTAGGCTAATTGTTCTGTATGTCTTGGCATTTACTTTTTTGGTATGGTCACGAACGTCGACTTTAACCAGCTTTGGGTATTTTTCCAGTTACGTATATGTTGTTGAATACAGTTGTTATCAATTTTATTCCCTGTTCATCCATAAGGAATTCTGCACAAAACTCGTCAGGCCCTACCGCTTTACCATCTTTAGTTCTTTTAATAGCTAACGTGACTTCTTCAATGGTAATCGGGGGTCCTGTTTGGCATTCAGTGTCTTCAATGGTAGTCTGCCTTTCATCTGCAAAAGTTACTTCCACATAATTGTTCCAAGTGTCTAGTTTTTCTTCCACGGTTAACAGTTGTTTGCCTTGGTTATCTGCCAATCACCCAACTCTTCTAGGTTTGTATAAGCCTGCGGCTTCTTTAACTTTTTTGTGCATATTAAATGTATCGTGTTTATGTTGCAATTGCTGTATTTCCGAACACTGTTTTCTTAGATGTGTATCCTTAGCTATTCTAATAGCTTTTTTGATCTTTTTATCGATTCTTTTGTATAATGACATGTCTTGATCTTTGAACTTTCGCCTCTCTTCCATCATATCTAGAATCTCATTTGTCATCCACGATTTCTTCTTAATTTTTGGTGGTTTGAGAAATTTCTCTCGTATGTCTTTTGAAACTGTATGTAACTTTTCTAGCTCCTGGTCCATTACTTCCGATTGTATAACGGTATTCAAATTGTTCTGTATATACCGTTTTACACTATGTTCTGTGTGTTGGTCTTTTAATAGCTTTATGTCGAATTTTGGATTAAAAGCATAAAGAAAGCTAAATACATGTAAAAGTTAACACTACAAGAAAAATACAACTTTGAAAAGAACAATACATTGTCTTAAAAAATATATTATTCAATGACCATCAGTCAATGGAAAAAAATCTCATTATTTGGCTTTATTTCTCTTTATTTCATTATTCAATAGTATTGTTGTAAATAACAAAGGTCCTAAAATTTCTTCTAAAATGCCTATTTTATTTCAGGAACTTTTTACGTTCAACTTGAAGATGATATTTTAGCCAAACCATCCTATGCAGCGATAATGAGAAAATTTGCGATCGAAAAGACTGCCAAAAAAGATCCTTGGATTGTGTTGGATTTTTGCCAACTAGGATTTATAGGTATGTATTATCTATAAAACGTTTATCTTCATAAATATATTAATGTTCGTCAAATACCTCCTTACTTTTAACGTTACCGCTAATAATGTTCCTTTTGATATAATATCATATAATATATAAAATATATAATATATATTTGATATATATATATATAAATAATTGATCCTTTTTTTAATTGCGTTGAATTACCCGATCAATTTAGCCACTATAAATTAAGTACATGTTTACAATTAAATATATGTTTTCTTCAATGTTTTTTTTTGTATGTTTTGGCTTGGACAATTGTCACTCAGCCAGTCTCAATCAAGATAAGTTTATTAATGTAGTGTGTATGTGTGTGTGTGTGTGTGTGTATAGAGTAATTGTCTTGATACTTCGTAAGTCGACGTCATTGTCTTTGCTAAGAGACGCTAATTGTATCCGAACGTCTAAATCTGATAATATAAAAAAAATGACATTGACACTTATCTGCAAAAAAAATTGTTTTCTCTCCTTTTTGTTTTCGTATCTGATAACGTTATATTTGGTGCTCTAAATGTGCTCTAAATAAATTTCTACGGTAAATAAAATTTAAAATAGAAATAAATACTTATATATACTTTTCATTTAATGTTCACCAAAAAACTGTATTATTAGAGTAACAACAACTATAAAAAAATTATAAAGTACTATGAAAGTTTTAACTATGTTAAGTTTTGCCGTAAAAAGTACTATTTTTCAGGTACAGGTCATGAAAGTTTCACTAAATTTATCTCATTATTATGACAAAATCCTACAAAAAAGTTGTTTGTGGTTTTCTTCCTTTTCGCTTTAATTAAGTTTCTCAGTAAATCGACCAACAGCACCAGACAATAGCATAGCAGCATTGCTGCAGACCATTTTCTAGTATATCTGGGTGCAATATACCTTTGACCATGCTCATCTGATACGGCGCGCGGCGCCAATATTTTCAGGAAAAAATTTAAGTTCCAATCTAATAAATGAATTTTAAGGGACATGTTGCATCCGAGAGCTTCATAAACAGAAAGAAGTTTTTGGATGACTTCTCGCTAGTTGTCAGCTTTCGTTCAAGGAAATTATTACACAGTATTGTTAGACTGGGAATGAGCCAATCTATTAGTGGTCAACGGCATAAGGATGTAAAAGGCATTCCAAATCGGCTGATATATTCTTGGATCAACTTATCTACAAGTGCGTAAATCTCGACTCACTCAGTGAAGTAATCAATTACTACTAACCTGTACTTGTCTCCATTTTCACTTTCTGGAAATGTCCAAAGCTATTCTTTCAAACGGGCTTCCAGCATTATATTGTCTTATAGGAGCTCTCCTTTTTCGGTAAGGTCCGTTACTCATAGCACAAATAGTACATTTCTTATACCAGCCTTTTACGTCGTCGGAACTGTTCATCCAATAAAATCGTGAAAACAACTACTTTAAAGATCGTCAGATTTCTCTAGAACAATAACCATGCTAAGTATGGTCAATCACATGGCCCCTAGGCCACGGCGGACCTTTAATGGTCGAGAGGTGCTAAGAATCTCCGCGAGGAGGAGCCACCCGAATGTGGCAAAAATAAAGAGTACAAATTCTTTTTAAATTTCTGGACATGGAATCTGAGGAGTTTGTTCGAATAAAAAAAGACCCACAACACGATTCAGGAAATGAACAAACTGAACCTACCAATATTAGGCATAAGCAAAATGCGCTGGCTTGGTTCCGGCAAAACATTGGTCATGGATAAAACGATATACTACTCCGGAAATGACACCCGAAATCATCTATATGGAGTTAGAATAATTATCTCCAGGAGAATCCAAGCAGCCGTTGTAAATTTTGTTCCCTTTTCGGATAAAATGCTATTATAACAAATACAGGGTAAGCCAGTGAACATTAATGTTGTACAAGTGTACTGAATTGTTCTTATTAATCTAATTTATTAACTTTATTTATTATAAAAGGTTTTACACTTTTAAAACACGTCCAAGTTTAATTAAGTCTTTATTTATACAATATTACACTAATTTTTTTTTGTTCACTATAATTATATAATTTATTTTCATTTATTACAACTTATATTCCCTGACTCTTATTGTAAAGAATGGAAGATATTGGTCCCAGTCTCGCTGATGTTCGGACACCATCTTTGTCAAATAGTTGCCAACTGTCCCATTCATTAGTTCTACCATACCGTCTGATTGCGGATGATATGGTGTAGTTCTTGTTTTCTTCATGCCTAGTCTATCACATATTCCTTGGAATAGATCGCTTGCGAAGTTCCTTCCTTCGCCACTATGGATCTCCAAAGGCACTCCAAATCGGCTGATATATTCTTGGATCAACTTATCTGCAATGGTGGCGGCCTTCTGGTCTGGAAGTGCGTAAATCTCGACTCACTCAGTGAAGTAATCCATTACTACTAACCTGTACTTGCCTCCATTTTTACTTTCTGGAAATGTCCAAAGCTATTCTTTCAAACGGGCTTCCAACATTATATTGTCTCATAGGAGCTCTCCTTTTTCGGTAAGGTCCGTTACTCGTAGCACAAATAGTATATTTATTATACCAGCCTTTTACGTCGTCGGAACTGTTTATCCAATAAAATCGTTCCCGAATTCGCTGAAGGATTTTATTTGCCCCGAAATGCCCTTCTGATGGACTTTGTGTAACTGACGAAGTACTTTGGCTATTCTGCTCTTTGGGATCACCAACTGTCTTCTATGAACCGTCATCATTTTCCAGTACTCGTTTGAGCAAACTATCTTCCATGATAAATGAGTCCCTCTGGGCCCAATAAGTCTTAACTACTGAGCATAGGTTTGATATTTCTTGCCAAGGTGGTCGACGGTTTTCCTCTTTCCATAAGTCGCGTTAATGGCTTAGCGATATTTGCAAACTTCTTAGTAAACTTCCGATAGTAAGTACATAGTCCAAGAAAACTTCTCACTTAATGCTTGTCCTTTGGTTCTGGACATTCCTTAATGGAATCGATTTTTCCCATATCCACGGCCACTCCTTCTTTACTGACTATATTGTAAGATATGGCTTAAAATAAACACTAGAGATCTTTCGTATGGCTGTTTATTTAAGAATACATAACACAAGTGTCTCAATAACTTCTAACCTAAGTGTTGCGGCTGCTACCGCCAGGCGCCTAGGTGACAACTGTCCTAACAGGTAACTGTCATTACCATTACCTTTTAGGACTTCAGCCACCTTTACATATGGCACATATTACATCTCCCCCTTTTTACAAATTCAGTTTTAAAGGTGGTTTAACATTTCTACCTGATTTAGTTCTATAATTATCTGCTTGTTCAGTGACATTATTTTGTACGTCAGTAGAGGTAGGCAACTCTGCCTCTGTTGTCTGTGTTGAGGATGGGGGTTCTTGATCTAAATCTACATCACTTGTATTCGTAAGTATTGTAGTTGGTTGTGACTTAAATCTATTTAGGGATTCTCTAATATCTACTCTATTGCGACGGACAATATTATTATGCTCATCTCTCAAGATATAAGATCTTGGAGCTTCATGCTGCGATACTATTTGGGCTGGTTCCCACCTCTTTTGACATTGATTGTACATAACAACATCTGTCTCAGATTCTAACGACTCTAAATCCTTAACACCTTGGTTATAGTCTCTGACATACACATTTCTCCTTTTACTTAATTTTTCTTTCACATTTATGCATAAAGCTGGTTTTAACATATCTTGATCAATAGGTAATTTGGTTCTACAGTGTCTACTCATTAAGAGTTGTGAAGGAGTATAACCAATGTGTTTAAGGGGTGAATTCCTATATTGTAATAATGCTGATTCAACATCAGACCTATCATCAATAGACTTTTTAACAATACTCTTAGCAATTGCTACACCTTTCTCAGCAAGCCCATTTGACCGCGGATAATTGGGACTTCTAAACTTAATTTGAAAATTCCATTCTGTAGCAAAGTTTTTAAAATGATAGCTATTGAAAGGAACATTATCACAGCATATATAAGCTGGTGAACCATGTATAGCAAACATTGATTTTAGAACTTTAATGACAGAAAAAACAGATTTGTCTTTTATCGAGTGAAGCTCTATCCAGTTTGAAAAAGAATCATAAGCGACTAGATAACTTGTACCATAACATGTGAAAATGTCAATGCCAATTCTTTCCCATGGATATTCTGGTAAAGGGTATGGACATAATGTTTCCCTTTGTTGCTTCGATCTAAACTTTTCACAAGATTTACATCTTTTTATATAAGTCTCTATATCAGAGCTCATTCCTGGCCAGTAAAAAATTTGCCTGGCTCTAGCTTTTGATTTTTCAATACCAATATGACCCTCATGCACCAGCCTTAACATTTCAGATCTTAAGCTTTTAGGAGCAACAATTTTAATTCCATAAAATAACAAGTTATCACAGACACATAAGTTGTCTCTGAGCTTAAAAAAATTATTAACTATCTGTGGCACATCACGCTTGTGTTCTGGCCATCCCTGTATGCACAGGTTTATAACAGTTTGCAATTGCTCATCTTTTTGGGTTTCTATTCTAAACTCTGATTTTCTAGTATCAAACATAGCAACATTATTTACTACAGCATGAACTGCAAACTGAAATTCAGCATCTGACTTCAGACCTCCTTCTTGTAAAAATGCCCGAGATAATGTATCTGCAATGTACAGATACTTTCCAGGTTTATATACTACATTTAAGTCATAATGCAATAGCCGTAAACGCATTCTTTGCAAACGTGGAGATAATGCACATATATCTTTACGAACTATTGATTCTAGAGGTTTGTGATCACAACTAACAAGCACATTGTGACCATACACAAAATAATGAAATTTTTGAAACGCAAAAACTATTCCTAACATTTCTTTCTCAATCTGAGCATATTTTTGCTCAGTTGTGCTTAAGCTCCTAGATGCAAAGGCTACTGGATGGCCACCTTGCAGCAAACAAGCGCCTAACCCATCTTTACTGGCATCAGCTTCAATTTATATTTCTTTAGATGGGTCAAAAAATGTTAGCACTGGTGATGCTGTTAGCAAATGTTTTAATTGAAACAAAGATTTATCATGAATACCAGTCCAGTGCCAAGGGACATCTAATTTTGTTAGTTCTCTTAATGGGGCTGTGACTTTTGACATGTTAGGTACAAATTTGCCCAAAAACTTTGCCATCCCCAATAGTCTCATTAGATCAGATTTATTATCAGGTGTTGGCATTTCTAGAATAGGTTTTACATATACTTGATTTAATTCAACACCTTGTTTGGAATAAATCTGACCTAAAAATTTAACACTACTTAACTTGAATTGAATTTTTTCCTTATTGAATCTAAGGTTGTGCTTTAGGGCCCGTTCTAGTACAAGGCGAAGGTTTTGGTCATGCTCTGCTTCATTAGCACCTGTAATAATCAAATCATCAAAATATAGACCAACACCTTCAATGTCACCAAATATTTCATAGTTTTTTCTTTGAAAGACTTCTGGGGCTGAGCATATTCCAAAAGGTAGACGACAAAATTGATACCTACCGAAGGGAGTGCCAAAAGTACAATAATCTGCACTCTGATCATCAAGTTTAATTTGAAAGTACCCATCTTTCATATCCAGAACTGAAAAATACTGTTTGTTACACAATTTTGCAGCAATTTCATCTGCTGTGGGTATCAAAAAGTATTCTCTTTTAATAGCTTTGTTCAGGTATTTAGGGTCTAAGCACAACCTTAAATCCTTGTTTTTCTTTTCCACAATTACAAGTGGGTTTAACCACTCTGTGGGTTTCTCTACCTTTCTGATAATACACTCATTTTCTAGTTGTTTTAATTTATCTTTTAGTTTCTTATGTAATGCATGAGGAACCCTACGAACTGGTTGAACATGAGGGACTGCACCTTCTGTCAATGAAATGTGATAATCATTAGGGAATTGTCCAAGCCCCTGAAAAACTGTGGGATATGCTTCTACAACTTTAGCCATAGTTTTGAAGTCTACATCTAAACGTTCTACTCGCTTAATGAGATTAAGACTAATACAAGCATCTAACCCCAACAAAGGTACTTGGTTCTGAACATCAACAACAATAAATTTAATATCTGAAGATGCAGCCTCTACCTTGCAATTAATTATAATTTCTCCTACAGGTTTTATTTTAAAATCATCATTACCATAAGATACTATTGTAACATTACTTTTATTTATTTTTTGTATACCAAGATTTTGAATATACTCAAGAGGCAGAACATTTACTTCTGCACCAGTATCTAACTTAAATTCTACTATGCAATTTTTTACCTGAACTTTCTGTTTCCAGACATTCTGAGAACTTCCAGATTTCAATAAGCCTACAGTTTTGACACAATTGATAAACAACTCACCATCATCACTTTCACTACCACTATGTTGGTTTTTTACTTCATGTACTCCCTTCCTGCTCACCGACTCTCTTTTCTCCAGACCGTTGGTGCTCTTACTACACACTCCAGCAAAATGGTTTCTACCCTGGCAACGGGCACAAGTTTTGCCATATGCTGGACACTTTCTTCCTCGATGCTTGAACCCACAATAACTGCAAACTTTTTGTGATGTGCCTCTATTTGACCTCACTGCATCCACTGTTGATTCAGCTGTAAACGCTTTTGCTTGGATTTTACTGCTTTCACTTAGTCTACATGTTGTAATAGCCTTTTGTAATGTCAGCTTGGATTCTCTTAGGAGACTTTCTTGTGTTTGTTTGTCTTTTATTCCAATAACAATTCTGTCTCTAACCATGTCGTCCTGATCTTTATATTCAGTCATTTTCACTGCTTTCTTTAACTCAGTCACGAAACTATCAAAATTTTGCCCCTCTTTTTGGACAATGCTGTTGAACTTAAACCGCTCATAAATTACGTTAGACTTATGGGAGCAATACTCTTCAAACTTATCCAAGACAGGTTGCAACTTTTTATCGTCTCCTTTTACATTAAATGTGAAAGTGTTGAACAATTCCAATCCTTCATCTCCCAGTAAACTTAAAAATGTGGCCAGTTTCTTTTTCTCAGGCTTATCTTCTAAATCGGTGGCGTCCATGTAGAGGTTAAATTTTTGAGAGAACCTCCTCCAGTTTGCCGCCAAATTGCCATCATCTAATACAAGGGGTTCTGGGGGTTTAAACTGATTTTCCATTTTTCTTCTAGACACAACTCACAACTCGAATAAACCCCGGCCCGACCTGACACCATGTAAGATATGGCTTAAAATAAACACTAGAGATCTTTCGTATGGCTGTTTATTTAAGAATACATAACACAAGTGTCTCAATAACTTCTAACCTAAGTGTTGCGGCTGCTACCGCCAGGCGCCTAGGTGACAACTGTCCTAACAGGTAACTGTCATTACCATTACCTTTTAGGACTTCAGCCACCTTTACATATGGCACATATTACATATATGACCCAGGTAATTGACTTTAAGTCGATTAAAAACGTTTTCAAACGTTATAAAAATCTTCAGATGATCTTCAAATGTCTACCCCAAGACGACTATGTTATCTAGATAAACCAGGCATGTTTTCCAAGGTAATCCTCTCAACACATTTTCCATAAGCCTCTTAAATGTCGCAGGAGCATTACAGAGTCCAAATGGCATAACGTTGAATTGCCACAATCCAGATCCTGTGGTAAAGGCTGTCTTCTCTTTATTTACTGGGTCCATTTCTACCTGCTAGTATCCAGACTTCAAATCCACAGTAGAAAACAATTTACTTCCAGCCAATGTGTCGTCGATCCGAGGCAAAGGATAACTATCTTTCTTGGTAACGTTGTTCAGCAAACGGTAATCCACACAGAACCTCGTCGCTCTGTCTTTCTTCATTTCTTGAACAATCGTTTCAGCTTCCTCACTTTTGCCTGTGGTAATCGTCGAACTGTTTGACGAATGTGTTTAGCATTGCCAGTATCAATTTTATGTTTAACAACGGTAGTTCTTCCCGTCTTGCCTCCTTTCGGTACACAAAGATCACGATACCGCCGAAGAAATTCTCTTAATTTCCTTTTTTTTCATCTGATTTAGAGAGTGTCCAGCAACTGCAACCATTTGGTCGAATTTGTCGTTGGAATTATCAGATGTTGTCGTCTGACGGAATATGGATGTCACAGGTACACAAGTTACTACTTTTGTCTCTTTCTTGATGGTCACTGGGTAGTCATTGACATTGATAAGTCTCACATGTATTTCACATCTCACATGAATGTTGGCATTTTCACCTGTAGCAGTTCGAAGTCGCAGCTTCGTTGGTAACAGTTTCTTACGGCTATTATATAGTCGACAATATAATAGGTGATTATGGTTTAGAAATAAGGAATGCTAGAGGCGACAGATTTGCTCAATTTTATCAAGAAGAAAACCTGACGATTATGAACACACGGTTTCGATTACCACCCCGTAGACTGTATACCTGGAGGTCACCACAAAATAATGATCAAAATTGCATTAGAAATTAGATCGACTTTATTCTAACCAATCGAAGATTTAGAAATTCCATTGTAAGCGTTTTTGTTAAAAAAATGTGTTCTTCAGAGAAAACGGTAAAAAGGACTACCATCACGCGGGTATGAATGTTCTAACAAGCTAGTTCTCAACATCACAATATGTCTTACTTCTAGATCCCTGGCTATTGTCAATTGTTTCGAAACTTAAAATAATGTCTCGGTTGTAAGTGATATCTGTAATAAAAGCATTAAGGTTTTCGTTCAAATAAGCGAGTTGAACTAGCAGGAAAGTGGCTAATTCTCTAAGCAAATGTAGAGAAAAAAACTAACCAGAAAGTGGGAAAGTCAATTGCAAAGTAAAGTAATACTTAGTATACCACGTAGTTATAAAACAGTTATTATATAAGATCTATATTTATCTAGCAGTTTGCTTTATTTCAGGAAAACTTTTTAAAACTGCTGAACTTCCATGGTTGATAAATTTTTTCCAAATGTTTTTTAACGATAAACCTGTTGACTGGTTGTTGGATTATTTGATTACTACAAAAATTTGTAATTGGGAGAAAAACGTAAGTATAATTCATTTATATTTAGCAAATTGGTATTAAAGATATCATCTTTTCCATGTCATATCGTTCTGAGCATTAAAAATGTGGATTATAGTCTCCTAATAATTTGTTAGTTTATGTAATGCATTCTTTATTTAATAGAGGTAGTTAATTTTTTACTGGCTATTAGTTGTAACGGTCCAGGACACAAAATTTCTACATTCTACTTTTTTACAGAGCATTCTGAAGTAAATATAGATTTTACTTACATGTGTACGGCTGATCTCTATAGTTTAGTCAATGTTTGTTTTCTCTTTAAGTTAGTCAGTTGAATTTCATTGTTAATTAGGTTTATTTTTTATTTTATAATCTTTGGTAATATTCCGATTTGCTTTTCGATTTATAATCTACTGTAATGATAATGTAATTGCTGAAAAAGAAAGAAAGAGAACGTAGCAAGTTGCAACAAGATATGGAATAATATTAATGAAATTTGTACTAGATAAAAGTATTGAATATTACACGGATGTGAAAAGCTTTCTATGATCAACTAGTAGACATATTTAGAGATATTCCCACAAAAAAGAGTCATAGCATGAACAGATTTTAATACACATGTGTGAGTCAATCCAAAAAAAAATAAGAAGCGATATATGGCTTAAGCATTGAAACAAGAAAATATGCTTGGTATGATGTGTCGGATCCGACAGTAGCACCAGATGTGGAGATTCTCAACACATAAAATAAAAAAAGTTAACTTGGCATAACTTTGTAAAATTAAGTCAAATTAACTTATTTTTGACAAGAAATAAAGATATGTAAATGTAAGGTTATATTAGTGGGACAGTAAGCCAACAGCATACGTTGCTTGTGCTGGACATGAAAGTAAGATGACAAAAAAATTAAATGGTTAATATTAAAAATCAGATAAATCAGTTGAACTAAATGATAGCACTAGAGAAATATAAACACCTTTAGGAAAGACAATATATTAGTATGTGTATACAAAAACAGCGAATAGACACTTTTCTACCTTCCCGGTATAACCATGTCCCATCTCTTTATCACTCCAGATCTAGTTACAAATTTTCTATCTCTTCTTGATAAAAGGCAGCAGCGATCATCAGTACCATCATGGTTGTGGTAAAAGCGATGGGCAACGCGAAAACCACCCTATTGTATTTCCGAAAAATCTAAATGGCAGGCGAAAACAATAAAATTGCCCTCAGTCCGGGTATCCTTTGAGGAGAGGGTGCGAGGAATCCCTCGGTCAACTACCATTAAGATTCAAGAAACTTAAGAGAGTATCCAAATATATAACAAGATACTATACATTGCCACCTAAAACGTGCTTATTCACGTTCGGGAAACTGGCTAACACTGAATGATATGAGAAGAATAAAGAATGAAAATAAATATGTTGTTGATGAGTGAAGTAAGCTGGCCTTGTTCACAAAAAACAAAAAACAAAAGATGGATATATCTATTATTCAGAAGGAACCGACCCAGAACATTAATATGGAACGGTTATATTAGTATAGGACCAAATTGCGTAGTCCGTCACATACTTCATTCCTCTAGATAACAGAATAGTAATGTTGAAATTACGAACAATTCATAGAAACTTCATAGAAAAAAATATTCAGGTATATGATCCAACAAGTGACAAGTCAGAGTAACAAATCGAAAAATTTGACATGCAAAGGATGAAATTTAGATGAAATAATGCGACTCACAAAAAAATGAGAAAATAATGATCATGGGTGACATTAACTCCAAAATTGGTCATGTCGCTGAGGGACACATAAAAATGTATAAAAGACAAACTGGAGAGATACCCAAAAACGTTCAAATTAATCAGCGAAGAAAATATCGAATTATTTGTCCTTTTATTCAATCGTATTTATGATACAGGTAAAATACCCCAAGGTTGGCTGGAGTCAATATTCATCCCACTACCAAAAAAGCCAAACCCATAACACTGCAATGAGTTCCGTCTGATAAGCCTTATGCACAAGTCCTACTAAAAATGGATTCAGAGCCGGCATGGGAACGAGAGAAGCCCTGTTCAGTTTACTTGTTCTCGCCCAAAAATGCTACGACCAACAGAAAGATATATTTATATGCTTTATAGACTTCGAAAAAGCATTTGATAGAGTAAGACACGACCTACTATTAGAACGTTTGCAAGAAGTCAATTTAGATGGAAAAGACATCAAATTCTTAAAAAACTTGTACTGGAACCAAAACGCCAGAGTTAGGATCGAAGGTTCCACATCCGCAGAAGTAGAAATTAGGAGGGGAGTTAGACAAGGATGTGTTCTGTCGCCTCTGCTGTTTAATCTATACTCCGAGTTTCTATTTAAAGAAGCATTGGAGGATTCCAAGGATGGAGTCAAGGTGAATGGCGTAAATATCAACAGTATGAGATACGCCGATGATACAGTGTTAATTACGGATATCGACTCAGGTCTACAATGACTCATCGACAAGACCAACTCGACCTCTGAGCAATTTGGTATGAAAATAAACATTAAAAAAACCAAAGTGATGTCAATCCGAAAAAACCAAAACGTACCTCAACCTTGCACAATAAATGGGCACATCTTAGAACAGGTCAATAGATTTAAGTAGCTGGGATGTTGGATCGATAACAGCCTAAATCCTGATCAAGAAATAAGATCGAGAATAGAACAGGCCAGAAAATCTTTCGAAAAAATAAAAAAACTGCTTTGTGATTCTCTAATAAAACTCGAAATTCGACTACGTTTATCAAAATGCTACGTCTGATCGACTCTTCTATATGCAGTTGAAACGTGGACCCTTAAAACATCAACCGTAAATAAATTGGAGGCCTTTGAAATGTGGATCTACCGGAGAATACTCATAGACATCGCATACCTCAAACGAAGAAGTGCTGCATAGAATAGGCAAGGAAAGAGAACTTTTTAACACAGTAAAAGTTAGAAAAACATCATACCTAGGCCACATACTGAGAAATAATAAGTACCAATATGCCAAACTTATAGTGAAAGGAAAAATCGAGGGAAAGAGAGGCCTAGAAAGGAAAAAAATATCGTGGCTCAGAAACATCCGACAATGGACAGGGCTAAATTTTGATCAGCTAATAAGAACAGCTGAAGATAGAGAAGAGTTTAAGATTGTAGTAGCCAACCTCCATTGAGGAGAGGGCACTTTAAGAAGAAGAAGGAGAGATGGTAATAATACATTCTGATTTTGAGGATGATAGACATTGTGCTCCTTCATCCATAGATAATCGAATAAATGGAAAATGTCCAAAAATATCCAAAGAAGAAGTTATGCATGCGGTAAAAGCACAGAAAAACGGAAAATCCACTGTTCCAGAGAAAAGTAAATGATGCTGTCGAACAGGCAGCTAAAATGAAATGGAAATGGGTTGGACATAACGAACGTCTTACGGATGGCCGATGGAATAAAGAAATCGAGAATTGGCGGCCATATGAAGCCAAAAGACCACGAGAAAGACCGCAAATGCGATGTAGCGACGATATTAAAGGAACTGTAGGGCCAATGTGGAAACGTTTTACAAACAACAGAGATGAATGGCGAGAATTAGGAGAGGCATATACCAAAAAAACGCAATTTTTCACACAGCAATCCTTACAAAGCAAGACATGCAAGGCCATAAATTTGGACGCATTTACATATTTTATAGATTATCGAAAAGCATTTGTTAATTATTTCAGAACTTTATTGGCATCAAACGGCAACAATTGAAATAGATGACATAACATCCATACCATAAGATATACGAATTTAACGAGGAATGCGACAGGGTTGCGTTTTATCGACGTTATTATTTAATCTTTATTTGTAGTCTATATTTAGAGAAGTATTAGACAAGGTCCTAGGTGGAAGTTAACGGAGCCAGCATTGCCACACTCATTGCGTTGATGAGCGTTCCATTCGCTATATCGAGTAAATGTTTGGTGATCCGCGAAGTACAATACACGATGCTTTGCAAAGATTTCGAAAAACTGGTTCTTACTTAAGGAGGTCTGGCCAGGGAAGACCAAGGGCAACAAACCAAATGGAAGATCGGTGTCTTAGACTTCAAAGCGCTTCGAAAGCGACAGTTACTGCTACAGCTTTGACTGGAAGTCGGGCCGATGTTCATAGTAACGTACAGTTTCACCTAGTAGTTACTCCATATTACCTAATATCGTATATAGAAGATTAAGCAAACAAAATTTATTATTTTATGTGCCTGCTATAGGTCTCTTATTGGACGCAGCTCATCGAAGATAACGCTTGGAATTTCCTTGTGTTTATACAGATTGGGATATGAAATATTGGAGAAACGTTCTGTTTACAGATGAGTCTTGTTTTATGAGATAAGATGATGCTTCTCTCTTGAGAGTACAGTTTGGTGTAGTAGGATATGGCGACGATTCTTTGGAAGCACATATATATCTTGTTATATTCTACAAAGTTTACAATTAAATTCCACTTAATGCTGAAAGGTATATTAGAGTATGTCTGAAAGAATATGTGGTACCTTATATGCATTTTGTAGGTGGAAATGTTCTCCTAATGCAGGTCTCCAATGCAATATTTTACAGATGTTGGTATTCTGGGACTACCTGGGCTCTCAGAAGTCCAGACTTTAACCTTGCAGTGTATCTGTAGGACAAGTTGGGAATAGTAATTATGCAAAATTATAGCGAGTTTGGAATCGTGGTAGCGCTAAAACATGCGCTGGTAAACAAGTGAGAAAATATATCGCAAAACGATATTGCTGCTAGATTTAGTCTATGCCAGAAATGATGAGAGTTGTTGTTCAAGCTCGTCCATAAAATCCATATTTTAGAATTAATTTATATTTTAAAAAAATATCTTACTCCGGAATGAAAAAGCTTTAAATTAGTCAATATTTTCAAACTTGTCTTAGTTTTATGATTTGACAAATACTTTTTAATTTTACCTAAAATATACTTAGTATTTGGTTAATTTTATAGGGCAGTATAGGTTTTGACCGTTTTTTTTTGTTTATTATTTCAATTACTCTTTAAAGATATCTTCTTTCATCTCAGTCGTTTGATCATTTATGGGGAGCATAATTATATTACAATTGCTAGGCTTGTTTTCATTATGTTCATATGTATTTTCATTGCTTTCTCATTTTTTTATAATGATATTCGTGATATTTATTTTCTGGTATTTATGTTTTGACAGTATCGCTACTCCTTTCTATAATCTTTCTCCTATAGAAACTCCTTTCCACTATAAACTTATAATCGCAGATGTTTGTATTTCCTTTTATTTTTGTTTCGTTTTGATTTCTTGTGTATTCAAAGTTTCATAGTTCTTTAAACAACATTAAAATCGGCCTCTAAAAGCAAGCTAATACTTATGACAAATTTATAGCATTGACGTTTCAATTTTTCTTTCGAAATGGTTTTCAAAATACAAATATTAATGATTAGTTAATTAACATTAATGAATAGTTAATTGAAAATTAATGTTAATATTTATAGCAATTTAAAAACCAGATAGTATAAAGAACTACAGCTAACATCGTACTATGCCACTAATTAAATTTAGGTAAGTATGTGCCACTAGGGATGCCTGATATGATCATGTGATCCACAACGAAGCCTCAATATGAATCAAAAAGTGTATGCTATTTTATAGATTTAGAAACGGCTCTAGGTAAAGTGTAACTTCGCCAAATGATACAAATTCTAAAATTCAAGGATGTAGACAATAGAGACATAAGAATGATCTCAAATCTATAATTAAATTAGACGACAAGAGTTAAGAGACTAACGGAAGAAATAGAAATTTGTCGGGAATTCGTTAGGACTGTATCTCCTCTTTTGTTCAACCTGTACAACGAGTCCATATGTTAAGAAGCTCTTAGGATAGATCAGAAAGAACAATAATTACTAGATTTGCACCTTGTACAACCATTTTTAGTATTTAAAGACAAAAAAATTTAAGATATTGAACCACTGTCGCATTTTAAAAATATCATAGACAGATAGATTACGAAATCTTCAGAGCGTAAACAAAAAATATGAATATCGACAAAAGTATGAAGAAAACTGCAGTAGTTGGGACATATTATAAGGAGAGAAAAACTCACTGCTGAAAAATATGATACAAGACAAATTAAAGGGAAAAAGAAGTTTAAGCCGAAGGAAAATATCCTGGCTGAGAAACTTGCATGAATAGTGTAGCTGTAGTTCAAGTGAACGTTTTAGTAGATGCGTTAATAAAGTTAGACTAGCAATTATTATATAAAATCTCTACGAATACCAGCCTAAGAAAAAAAAGCTGCTTCCCTATCCCTTCTCTTCTCTCATCTCTTGCGTGATAAAACTTTAATTCTAGGGTTGGAGCTGGCATTGCGCAGTTAATGTACAAATTATACTCTTTTAGAGGCATTTCATAAAGATTTACTGCTATTATCTCTTTTAGGATAACTGTAAAGCAGACAAAGCAAAGGTCTGGATTCACTACAAACCATCGTTATTTCAACATATTGGAATGCATTCGTCTCTAAAAGGAAAAGTACAAAAACTAAAAGTAAGTATTTTTTTTTCCTGTAGATTCTTTAAAAACATTTGTGTTATTTAGGTATATAAATTAATCGAACCGAGATATTCTTAATATTTTATTAGAGTCGACTTTTTGCATCTATAATCTTTAAGATTTTGCTTTGTGATGATAAGTTTCTGTTTATCTTGTAAATTGTCTAGTAAGGTGAAATCCAAAGACAATGAAATAGAAATCATGACATAAACTACATTTTATGTAAGGAGATCGGTTTTGGAATTTCAAGTAGTGAAAACATCACATTTAAATAAATAAATTTTGATGTAAAAGCGGGAGGTGACACTCCGGGAGTGAATGAGGAAGAAAGTATAGCTTTTTTATTGTCTACGCACGATGCGATCCTTTTTAATTTAATACAATTCAATTCGATTCCATTTGATCGGATTCGAGTCTATGAGAGTCGATTTGAATCGACTCGATTTTATTCGACTCAACTCTGACTTGATTCCATTCGATTTTATGTTCGATTTGATTCGACTCCACTCCATTCGATTCGAGTCGATTCAATTTAATTCGATTCGACTCGAGTCGGCTTGATTCCATTCTATTCGATATTCGATTTGATACGACTCGATTCGATTCCATTCGATATTTTATATTGGATTCAATTCGATATTCGCTTTAATTCGAATTGATTCGATTCGATTTGCTTTTGATTTTTTTTTAGTTTAATTTTTTCTATTTTATTTCATTTTATTTTATTTTATTTTATTTAAATATTCACTACTCTTCTTTATGGCTTGGAAGCATGGACATTAAAACAAGTGTATCTGAATAAGTTGGCCGCCTTTGAATTTTGGTTTTACAGAAGAATCCTACATTTTATTTTATATTATATTATATTATATTATATTATATTATATTATATTATATTATATTATATTATATCATATTATATTATATTATATTATATTATATTATATTATATTATATTATATTATATTATATCATATTATATTATATTATATTATATTATATTATATTATATTATATTATATTATATTATATTATATTATATTATATTATATTATATTATATTATATTATATCATATTAGATTATATTATATTATATTATATTATATTATATTATATTATATTATATTATATTATATTATATTATATTATATTATATTATATTATATTATATTATATTATATTATATTATATTATATTATATTATATTATATTATATTATATCATATTATATTATATTAAATTATATTATATTATATTATATTATATTATATTATATTATATTATAATATATTATATTATATTATATTATATTATATTATATTGTATTATATTATATTATATTATATTATATTCTATTATATTATATCAAATTATATTATATTATATTATATTATATTATATTATATTATATTATATTATATTATATTATATTATATTATAATATACTATATTATATTATTTCATTTTATTTCATGTTATTTCATTTTATTTTATTTCATTTTATTTTATTTTATTTTATTTTATTTTATTGTAAGTATATAATTTAATTTATTTGATTTTATTAATAAACACGTATTATAACTGCGTTTACTAATCACTTTTATGTGTGGTGACACGAGATGTGTTGTCGCGAGATCTGTCGTTAAATCGTTACAGTGGTTTTATGTTTTTTTTTTTTTTTCGTACCTCTGTAAGATCTACCACTCCGTCCGTAGTATGCAATAAGAAAGTTATACTTACGAAAATCAACATATTGAAAAAAATGAGAAAAATTTTGTATTAGTATGAAACTTATATTTTGTTCAACTTTTGAGGTTAACAACTCGCAGTGGATTCGCAAAACTAATTTGATCTTTGTAAGTCTAAAAATTGTGACTGAATCATCAGATTATGTATGTAAAGTAAGTTTTTAGTAGGAATAATAATAATGAACTAGGCCTAAATTACGTTTAAGTTGGTGTCTTGAGGATGTTTGCATAAATGAAAATCATTAAATATTTATCTTAAAATATTCAAACAACTAGAGTTATTGGACAATTTCCTATCATGATTCAACTGTTATGTAATTTATATTATCAGTTTGGAACAATCATTTAAATTGAAATACAATATTCTGTATTCAGTCCTCTTAACAAATGGCTCATTTACCTTGTTCAGTATTCATAAGACATACCTACAATTTGTACCTAATTAAAATTTGAACGCAGGTCATATGGATAAGATATAAAAATTAATAAAATGCCTGAATCTATTGTAGGTAGGTTATAAGTTATCCAAGAGCAGAAAAAGAACTGGCTGATATATGTCAAAAATTGACAGCTGTCAAAAATGTTCACATTGATAGCCTAATAGTCGCTTGGATTGTGGTGTTGGGCATGACACTATGACAAACGAGATGGGTCTTCCCGTAGCACAAAATCGGTGGAGTTCGCGCATGCCGTCATCGGAGAGTAGAATTTGAATTCTTGTTAAAGTTAAATGGGATTTGTATGTATTATGTGATAAAATTACTAGACGAAAATAAGTTAAGAGGTTTAATAATTAAAATAATCGTACACATAAGGATATCTCCAAACTATTTATTGAAGATTATTTATTGATACATACAAAAAACTGACATTTCCAACCTGCAACTCTCCAATGACGTCACGACTTATGCGCAATATCTTATCTTCTTAGTCATAGTATCATGGTGTTGGATATTCTTTGATTGGTGATTGTGTATGTGTATTTGTGTGTGTGTGAGTGTGTAGGTGTGTGTGTGTGTGTGTGTGTGTGTGTGTGTGTGTGTGTGTGTGTGTGTGTGTGTGTGTGTGTGTGTGTGTGTGTGTGTGTGTGTGTGTGTGTGAGTTGTGTACTATTTTAGGTGGCTTTTGTCACCTTTTCAGACCGCGGTTTGTTTTGTTTTTGGGTGGTGGCACTGGATGTGTCGTTGGGCACTGTTGGTGTTTCCTTTTTAATTTAATACAATTCAATTCGATTCCATTTGATCGGATTCGAGTCTATGAGAGTCGATTTGAATCGACTCGATTTTATTCGACTCAACTCTGACTTGATTCCATTCGATTTTATGTTCGATTTGATTCGACTCCACTCCATTCGATTCGAGTCGATTCAATTTAATTCGATTCGACTCGAGTCGGCTTGATTCCATTCTATTCGATATTCGATTTGATACGACTCGATTCGATTCCATTCGATATTTTATATTGGATTCAATTCGATATTCGCTTTAATTCGAATTGATTCGATTCGATTTGCTTTTGATTTTTTTTTAGTTTAATTTTTTCTATTTTATTTCATTTTATTTTATTTTATTTTATTTAAATATTCACTACTCTTCTTTATGGCTTGGAAGCATGGACATTAAAACAAGTGTATCTGAATAAGTTGGCCGCCTTTGAATTTTGGTTTTACAGAAGAATCCTACATTTTATTTTATATTATATTATATTATATTATATTATATTATATTATATTATATTATATTATATTATATTATATCATATTATATTATATTATATTATATTATATTATATTATATTATATTATATTATATTATATTATATCATATTATATTATATTATATTATATTATATTATATTATATTATATTATATTATATTATATTATATTATATTATATTATATTATATTATATTATATTATATCATATTAGATTATATTATATTATATTATATTATATTATATTATATTATATTATATTATATTATATTATATTATATTATATTATATTATATTATATTATATTATATTATATTATATTATATTATATTATATTATATTATATTATATTATATTATATTATATCATATTATATTATATTAAATTATATTAAATTATATTATATTATATTATATTATATTATATTATATTATATTATATTATATTATATTATATTATATTATATTATATTATATTATATTATATTGTATTATATTATATTATATTATATTATATTCTATTATATTATATCAAATTATATTATATTATATTATATTATATTATATTATATTATATTATATTATATTATATTATATTATATTATATTATATTATAATATACTATATTATATTATATGATATTATTTCATTTTATTTCATGTTATTTCATTTTATTTTATTTCATTTTATTTTATTTTATTTTATTTTATTTTATTGTAAGTATATAATTTAATTTATTTGATTTTATTAATAAACACGTATTATAACTGCGTTTACTAATCACTTTTATGTGTGGTGACACGAGATGTGTTGTCGCGAGATCTGTCGTTAAATCGTTACAGTGGTTTTATGTTTTTTTTTTTTTTCGTACCTCTGTAAGATCTACCACTCCGTCCGTAGTATGCAATAAGAAAGTTATACTTACGAAAATCAACATATTGAAAAAAATGAGAAAAATTTTGTATTAGTATGAAACTTATATTTTGTTCAACTTTTGAGGTTAACAACTCGCAGTGGATTCGCAAAACTAATTTGATCTTTGTAAGTCTAAAAATTGTGACTGAATCATCAGATTATGTATGTAAAGTAAGTTTTTAGTAGGAATAATAATAATGAACTAGGCCTAAATTACGTTTAAGTTGGTGTCTTGAGGATGTTTGCATAAATGAAAATCATTAAATATTTATCTTAAAATATTCAAACAACTAGAGTTATTGGACAATTTCTTATCATGATTCAACTGTTATATAATTTATATTATCAGTTTGGAACAATCATCTAAATTGAAATACAATACTCTGTATTCAGTCCTCTTAACAAATGGCTCATTTACCTTGTTCAGTATTCATAAGACATACCTACAATTTGTACCTAATTAAAATTTGAACGCAGGTCATATGGATAAGATATAAAAATTAATAAAATGCCTGAATCTATTGCAGGTAGGTTGAAAGTTATCCAAGAGCAGAAAAAGAACTGGCTGATATATGTCAAAAATTGACAGCTGTCAAAAATGTTCACATTTATAGCCTAATAGCCTAATAGTCGTTTGGGTTGTGGTGTTGGGCATGATACTATGACAAACGAGATGGATCTTCTCGTAGCACAAAATCGGTGGAGTTCGCCCATGCCGTCATTGGAGAGTAGAAATTGAATTCTTGTTAAAGTTAAATGGGATTTGTATGTATTATGTGATAAAATTACTAGACGAAAATAAGTTAAGAGGTTTAATAATTACAATAATCGTACACATAAGGATATCTCATCTCTGAACTATTTATTGAAGATTATTTATTGATACATACAAAAAACTGACATTTCCAACCTGCAACTCTCCAATGACGTCACGACTTATGCGCAATATCTTATCTTCTTAGTAATAGTATCATGGTGTTGGATATTCTTTGATTGGCGATTGTGTGTGTATTTGTGTGTGTGTGTGTGTGTGTGTGTGTGTGTGTGTGTGTGTGTGTGTGTGTGTGTGTGTGTGTGTGTGTGTGTGTCTGTGTGTGTATATATGTGTGTGTGTGTGTGTGTGTGTGTGTGTGTGTGTGTGTGTGTGTGTGTGTGTGTGTGTGTGTGTTGTGTACTATTTTAGGTGGCTTTTTTCACCTTTTCAGACCGCGGTTTGTTTTGTTTTTGGGTGGTGGCACTGGATGTGTCGTTGGGCACTGTTGGTGTTTCGATGGTGGAATTTCGATGTCCTACGAAGGAGATCGACTTTAGATGGTGGTCGGGGAGAAAGGGCTTCGATACAACTCGTAAAACGGTTCTTTTCAGATTTTTTTTAATTATTTTGAATGTGACTCAATTTAAAATGTTTAATGGATGTGAGGAGTTATTTCGCGTTGAGAGCAGCTGTGGCTGGAGTTTTCTTATGGACAGGTATAGCTGTGCAATGCGATCGGGACACGATAGACAACAGAAGTGAGATATTTATCTGTTTATACAGTAAATAAAGTGGAGTTGCCTTCAGGATGTCGTTGTATTCATCAGGGAGTTCGTTGTTAGCGGTGGTCATCAATTTTGTATGGAAAAAGAGTAGTTTTGGTTTGGGTTATCTGATTAATACATCGCCGAAAGATAAGTAGGCAGTTTTTTGTGTATTTTGTGCTATAAAATTTTGGTCACTGATGGTTGTTTGTAATTCCTACACAAAGATGTGATCCTCTCAAGTATCGTCTATGTATAGCCTATGGACGGTGTTAGGACGGAGGGAAAGTCTAGTCGTTTTAATTTACTTTTAACTTTTTTAACTAATTTATATTTATTTGTGACAGGCCGCGATTAAGTAAGACGTATTCAATTTTGGGTCTGATGTAAGCTTTGTATTTTTTTTTACTCACCAACCTTTATATTACATGTAGATTCAAATTTTCTCTTTACAATTTTTAAAATGATTTTTAAAATGCAAAGGCAAATACAGACATTAATATTAAATGTGTCATTGTGAATATATTATTATTAATTTCATTTTTCATGTCCCCGCTGGTGTTGTTTATGTTGTTATTGTCCATGGTTGAATACGTCTTGGTGGATATGTTGCTTGTTCTTCTTCTAGTTCCATGACCGTTATCGATCGTTGGATATCATGTTGGCTACCATATTCGCTATCGTGACTTTATTGACAGCAGCTCTAAATAACGATGTAGTTGATTTTCCATACCATTGCCTTAGATTTTTTAGCCATGATGTTCTTCGTCTACCAGGAGCACGATTACCTTGGATCTTTCCCTGAATGACCAGATGTAAAAGATCATATTTTTTAGGGCGTCTCATAATGTGACCGAAGTATTCCAGCTTGCGTTTCTTTATTATATTGACCAGTTGTGTTGTTTGGCTCAGCCGTATAAGGACCTCCTCATTTCTAACTCTGTCGACCCAGCTTATTTTCAGTAGTCGTCTGTATACCCACATCTCAAAGGCTGTCAAGCGTTTAAGCATAGCCTCAGTTAGAGTCCACGCTTCCACTCCATACAGCAAGACAGGAAAGATGTAGCAAGATGTCATACGAACTCTAAGGTCAATGCTAAGATCGTGACTGCAAAGTACGTTTCTCATTTTTACAAAGGCAGCTCGGGCTTGTTCTATTCGGCTTTTAATTTCTGCGGTTGGATCCCAGCTCTCATTGATATTTCTACCGAGATACACGAGTTTCTCTACTCTGTCCAGTGTGGCATCTCCGACTTTTGATGTTGCTTGTGGTAACCGTCTATTAGCGTAAATCCATGCGCTCTGCTGATAATTTTGTATTATTTCAGTATTTCAATTTAACTCGCTATCACTAATATGACCTTGTGTATTAGGGTACATGAATTCGTCCGTCCGAATTTTTCAAATAGAGCATTGAGCAGGCCGATTCTTCTCTTAACCCTGTTAGAGGTTTCGATCAAATCTTGTCTCCAGTTAAGTGTTTAGGTAAACACCACACCTAGGTACTCGATTTGATCACGGAAGAAAACCATTTGAGTTAAAGTAAAATATTAACTAGTGTAAAAGCAAAGCATAGTGCTGTGTTGTATGTTAGCCATAGTGCATAGTTGTTAGATAAAATAATGATAAAATATGATTGAGTTCTTAGAATTTAAGTATTATTTGGTAATTTAAGTCAAAGAAGAATTGATAATTACTCACCTATTCCAGATTTGTAAGATATAAGCCCATCTTAGGGGTTTAATAAAAAAATTAAATTAGAGAAGATAAGTTATGCATTGATTTGATTTCCTTTACTCCTTACTTTCTGTTTTTAATGTATTTGGGATTTTAAGATACGTTATGATTTAAAAATAATACACTGCTTTAAATAATTTAAATACAGGAACATACAGCATTTTTAAATATACCAAGTATATGAGGTATCACAGCTGACACAATACAGGAGATCATTATTTTTTAAGAAACCACCTCCGTTAACTGTTGGCGACAAACCTTTCTTCGGTGATTTTTTTCATGTTCCGGTAATAGATCGGCTCGTTCCAGCAGAGAGTCCTAGGATCCATAATTTTAGGATGTCTTGAAACAATAACAACTTAAGCAAACTGCAAACTGTTATGTTAACGGAAACGTACAAAAATACTTTATCTTTGATGTTATTAAACTATAAAGAATGTAGCATAGGTACATAATGCCCTTGCTTTCTTGTCGTCTAGGTTTTTTGATACTATTTTATAGTATATCAGCTACTATTTTCACATAAATGTAGCTATTAGTCCACCTCAATGGCTAGAAATAAAAATATTTGCATTTATGCTAGTGGTTTAGATAATACGTTCCAAAGTATGGATAAATCTATCTTTTTCGTCATTTCGCGGTTTGCAACCAAAGGATTATATAGATACTATTAAGGATTTTTATCCTAACAAGTGTTTATAGAAATTTAGTCCTCTATTTTCTTTTTGCCAATATTCTTGTGCCATTCCGTCATTTATTGATTCTGAAATTATTTTCCTGAGGATTTTTATATTATTTATTATATTTTTTGGAAATAAACGAGAAAATTGCAATAAGAATTGTGGTTTATTTCCTAAAATATACTAGTTAATATACTGGTAGTTTCTTGGAGATTATTGAGGTATAATTTTAAATTTTATTATCGATAAATCTTATTTCAAAGCTTTTAGGTACCATTTCTTAGTCCGATAATTTAAAAACACACATATTTTTTAGGACAAACAGTTTGGAAAAGTGGCTTTGTTCTTTCCTCACAACAATCCTCCAGCTGAAGTGGTATCTGGAATTAAGCATTATAAACAATATACTCTAAAACGAGCTTACTTAGGAGAGACCTTTTTCTGGGGTTTGTTACCACAACCAGGCGACCAACTTTTATTTAATTTAACACCGCCAGTTACTCTAAAAAGGTAAATAAAACATTTTTACTAAACACCACATGGTACCTTTAAAATAAGCCTAAACCACAATATTTTTAAATGCCTAAACTAAATAATAACTGCATAAATATATATACATTTCGTATCTTAAATCCACCCTGCCAACTATTTTTGAAATAAATTTTTAAATAACTGAACTTAGACAGATATACATATTTTTTACTTAATGCTCTTACTATTACTCTAGTGTAATCGAACCTCCAATGGCTATATTGTAAAATAAGTATTTAATTTTTCCAGTTTTCCATACACTGATATATTTCAATTGTTAAATTATTGACATCTGTCAAAATATGACATCATCAGCATTATCCTTAAATTACAATCTATGTCATGTAATAAATCGTATCATCCAATGTCTAAGACGGAAACGAAGGTAAACACTTAAGGTCCATTCAGACACATCAGTCCCGTCATAGTCTCGGCGCCGAACCGATCCTGTTTGGTCACAGAACTATCAACTATCTGACAGCTGGGAAACTGTTTGTCAACTGATGAGTGTGAATGCCGGCAACATTTTGTATTAAAGAATATTTTGTATGACGGATTGTTCGGTTCGGCGCAATCACTGTGACGAGACGTGACTGATGTGTCTGAATCGACCTTTAGATGGAAGAATGGTCTAGACGAAGAAAGAGGCGTCCGAGAAAGCTGTGTCATGTCTTTCTTGCTCTTTAACTTGTAGTCTGAATGCATATTTAAATAAGAACTAGACGGCCAGGAAATTGGTATAAAAATAAACGGTAAATATATTAACCATATCAGGCATGCAGACGATACCGTTTTAATACCAGAAAAATGGAAAACTTTCAGATACTTAGTAGTAGTACTAAATGATAGGTGAAATCGAGATATAGAATGGAATGGAAACTTGTTCTTCTTTCTCGTGAACTCCTTAATGGCCAGTTTGAGTGTCGGAGTGATATTTTCATATTTCTTATACTCACCTCTACCATACCTTTCAGTCCCTAACTAAAATAGTTCCTTTAATTATTGAAATAATTTTCCTTTTTCTCTGTCCATTTTTAGTGATTGTTCCAACCATCCCATCCCCTCCTTTTCTCCTCTTCCCGTATCTCTTGGATTCCATTACTCTTCTTACTAGTCTGCTCTGTTTCACTTAATTTTCTTCTTTTGATTTCAGATCCTATCGATTCCTGCTTCAATTCGCTTCTTATGTGACACCAGCTATTTTTCTTAGTTGTTTAATTGTCGTTGCGTTCGGCACGCTGGGAATTTTGGTGTTATTGACCCATGTCTCGCTTGCATACAACAGTGTTGGTATTGTTACTGCAGTATATACCTTGAGTTGAGCTTAACTTCTCTTTCTATTTCTTGTTTTTTTAAAATCGTCTTGATCAGTGTATAATAAATTTTTGTTTGTTTTCTTTTTTCACTCTGTTTGATATCTCCTGATCGATTTTTCCATCTTCTGATATCACTGCTCCTAAATATTCAAAAGTTAATACTTTCTCAATTTGGTTTTTCTTACAGTACAGTGGAAAATGGTTTCGCTCATCAACTTTCTTTTGTTTAACTATCATACTTTTTGTTTGTTTGTTTTCTTGACGTTTATTTCCATTGTTTGTTTTTCTAATTCTCTCGCCAATATATTTATCAATTCTTGAATCTTCTCTCTGTTGTCTGCAATTAGTACAGTGTCATCTGTATACAACAGTCCGTCAAATTTTCCCGGTTTTAATTGTAAATATACCACCGTAGTTTGCAGATATGTGGCCCTTTTAGTATTTTTCAAAATTTCATCCATTACTGGGGGAATAGTACTGGGTTAAGGCCTTGCTGGGCCGTCTACTTGCTTTATTTCCCTATTAATATTGAATTTATTTGATCTGGCTTCTAATTACGTTTATAATTTTCCTCGGGACGTCTCGTTTTTCTAGGATTTTCCATATTCTCCTTTTATCTATTGTATTAAATGCCGCTTTTAAATCTATAAATGTGGGATATAAATCTTCTTCTTTTTCGTTCATTTTTTTATTATGGATTTCAAAATAAATAAATTAGTTGTTGTCTCCCTTCCTCGTCTAAATGCAGTTTATTCCTCGTCCAATTTTTCCTCTATTGCTACGCATAGTATTTTTTCTATTATTCTTGCATACATTTTAAAAGTTGTAAATGACACACAAATGGCCCTATAATTTTCGCTGTCTATTTCTTATTTCGTTTTTGTTATTTTTAAACCTCGTATTTCTTTTCTTTTTCTTCCTCTTGGACTTGGTATATTACCACAGAAACTTTTCTTCTTATTTCTGAAATTGGGATCCAGTTCTTCACCAAACTTTACCAGCTAGTAAACTAGCTAGAGTATCTGTCATAAGAGGGGGGTAGATTGACCGTGAACTCACCACGCTGGCCAGACGGGTTGGTAAGTGTGTTTCAGCCGCCCACTCTGGGAACAGACGCTGTTTGCAGCCGCCCACTCTGGGTCAGACGCTGCTGTTGTCGCAGTATCACAGCCGCTTAACTCATAATGTGAGTAACGCCTGTGAGTATCTGGAATTAAGCCTACAGAATTTTTACTTCCCATAGCCTTAATCCAGTAATGACAATACTGCTGCCTAATGTCATATCCTCAGTTGATCCGCGGGTACTTATTTGGCAATGCCTTAGTCGTACTGCATATCTGCAGGAACTCTTCCTATCAGCCATATGGGACGTGCCGTGTCGAGGTTGAGGACATCATCCGCCCAGTCTGTCTTCCGTGAAGTACAGAATAACCCCTACTCAGTTCAGAGCTCCTCCACGAAAGCTATGACTTACACGGATGGCAGAGAACAGCTTAGGGAAAGATGGAGAGAACTGGGGGAGACCTATATCCAACAATGGAAGGATAGAGAATAGGTTCAAAAAAAAAAAAACTAGGTAGAAGCTAGCAAACAAACCAGCTAATTCGTTTAGCTTCCCTAACCTCCTTCTATTTTGCGTAACTCGAATTCTTCTGTATTCCCTTCTATTTTGTTATTCTCTGAATTTTTGGTGTTGTTTCCATGCCTTTGCCTTACTTTTTATTGCCACTTTTACTTCTTAATTCCACCATCCTGTTCTTTTCTCGCTGGACTTAATTTTCTTTATTCCGTATACTTGTTTAGCTGTATTCCAAATTGTTCCTTTGAATATCTCCCATCTTCGTTCTAGACTCCATCCTTAGCCATTTCTTTGTATTTCAAGAAACAATCTGTTTGATTCATCCTGGTATCGTTCTCTTACATTTTTTTTTCTCAATATATTTATGTTAATTCTGGTGTACTCTATGTCTTCTAATTCTTTGATACTCTCTGAGTTGATTTCTGCCATCACCATTCTGTGTTTTGTTCCTAGTTTACCTGAGCTTTCAGTCCAGATTTTCTTTATTATCCGTTTTATTTCCGGCGTATATACGATGCATTACGACTATTATACTTCTAGCATTACGTTCTTCCGCTACGTAAGTGCATTTATCCTGTAGTAGTCGATACCAGAAATAGTTTCTGTTTAATATTGTTTCGCCGTAACTTCCCTTACATTCAAGTCCTTTATTTGAATCATTTCCTATCCGCGCGTTCCAGTCTCCCATCAAGATTATCTTTTTATTCTTTGCTTGCACCGGATCTAAAGTAAGCTGTAATGGTTTATAGAATATGTAGAATATATTCATCTGTCCCCTCATCTGGGGCATATATGTATTATATATCATCCTTCTTTTATTTCCAGTTCTATATACATTATTTTTGAGGAAATTGGTCGGAATTATGTTGTTCTAATGCCAAACTTACAGCAGAAACGTCAACTGTGACGTATACGCATATCTGGTTGATTACGAGAAATCGTTTGATCAAGTACAGCATGCCAAGATGATGCAAATAATACTAAAAGAAGCAGGATTTAACAACCAAGATCTGAAAATAGTTAGAAATCTTTACTGGAATCAGATAGCCAATGTCAGAGTTGAAGGTGAACGCACTGATTATGTGAAAAACATGCGTGGAGTAAGGCAAGGCTGTATTTTGTCTCCTCTAATTTTCAAACTGTACTCTGAAAGAATATTTATCGAAGCTTTGCACGAAACTGAAAAAAATATTCTACTAAATGGTTACCGGCTAAACAACATCAGATATGCAAATGACACCATAGTATTTGCGGACAACTTAGACGAACTACAAGTTCGTATCAACAAAATGATTAGGTCCTTCGGACATATTATGTGAAATAAATCCAGATATGCTCTCCTTCAAGCCATCCTGCAAGGAAAAATATTTGAAAAACGAGGTCTAGGAAGAAGAATGACATCTTGGTTAAAGAACCTCAGAATCTGGTTCAATACATCTGTGCAGCTTTTCCGCGCTGCTGCAGATAAGAAAACGATTGCCATCATGATGATCGCCAACATTCGTAACGGATAGGCACATCAAGAAGAAGAAGAATAGCAAACTCTCTTGATAGAATAATTCCTACTCCTGCCTTGGCTCTACGGCCTTTTACACTCCAGAAAAGTATAGTTCGTATTTTCCGTAAAAGTTTATTTTTCCATTTCCTTTTTTTGGTTTCGCTGGCAATAAGTGGAAACAAATTATTTATAACCGAGAACTAAGCTTAGACATTCGGATTATAGTTATTAACTGCTACGTTTGGTCAGTCCTTCTGTGTGGAGTTAAAGCCTGGACATTAAAATTAAATACCATGAGATAAGAATATCATTAACACATTACGAATCGAAGAGTATTAAGTACCATAAATAGAGAATTAGAACTTATAACAACGAGTAAGAAAAGAAAGATCTCGTACTTAGGCCACTTAATGAGAAATGACAAATTGGTTCAACAATTACTAAGAGTGGCGCAGAAAATAGAGAACATTTTGATATAGTGATCGCAAACCTCCAGTAAGGGAGCGCACCAGAAAAAAAAGTGATGATAGTGATCATTAAGTAACTTCACAGCTCGTTCCTGAGATTATCTCGGGATTTCAAACTAGCGACCGTTTTATATTCAATAACTGTAATGTATAAGCAGGTATAAACTATTTCTTAATAATTTATGGCATGTGATCTCTCATTTAACTGATCTTATGCCATTAAGTATGTTCATAGGTTTTTGTATGATTTTGTCGCACCGTTTTAAAGTTGCAAACAATGAATTATGAAAAATTATCATAAAATAACTCTCAAGGAAATAATAACTTTATGTTCTAGAGATATATGGAGTGGGACTGAGAGTTTGGAAAACTGGATAAATAAATTAACCTGTTTGTAAAGTTTTATTTGTCGAATGTTCAAATGATTACATCATTACATCACCGTAAAAATGATTTGTAGGTGCCTTAGTTCAATTACCAAAACAGTAATTAAGTTTTATGGTTCAGAAAATAGTTGTGGGCGAACTTTAGACGCGTACTGTATAGATCAGCACGAGTTTATTCGAAATATTTACTCATCACCAGCACGCTTGGCTTTGTGCACTACATATGACACCAGTTTGTGTGATGTGAGCTTTTTTTAAGTATTCCTTTATAATCTTGATGGTTCATTGATTGGAGATCGTTAATATTTTCAAAGGCAACTCTTTGTCACGTTTGTTGCCTGCAACACTTTCGATGCGCATGACTCTGATCCGAGTCAAAGTGGTCATTTGCTAGGTGCGCATGACTCCGATCGGGACAGTGTATATAAAATAGAAAAAAAAAAGAAGTATTTGTGCAAAAACTTAAAAACCGCTAAAACTAAAACTAAATACTTAATCACGCAAAAATTATACTAAAACTGTTAACACGAAATAATAATTTTTGCCTAATGGTAGATAAGTTGGAAGTCATATAAACGTTGCGACCAAAATTTACTAAAATGTAATATACAGATCTACATAGAAATATAAATATGTCATTGTGTAGTGACAGTTATGTTAGAAAACGCCAAATAATAAAAAAAAATAAGATGTGGCACTCTGGGTGCCTAGTGACCGAAGTGGGGCAGCATAGCTTTCTTGTCGTCTAGGCACGGAGAGATACTTACTTTTTAATTTACTTTATTATATTTAATTTTTTTATTTTATTTTCTTTTATTTTATTTAATAAGAAACACCCATGAGGCTGCGTTTACTACTCCATATAGTGTATGGTCCCGCGATTGTTACATTGTATCCATTCAGTCGCTTTTATTTTTTCATACCTGTGCACGATCCACCACTCCGTCCGTAACGGACAAAAAGAAAGATATGCTTCCAAAAATAATCGTTTATTCTTGATATTAGATTTTCGATTTATTTATAAACTTTTTATAGTTTACGTCTTATTATTGTGCGGATGTCGATCTAAATATGAGACTTTTAACAGTGAACTGTTAAACGATTGTAAGTTGTTTAAATATAAATTCTTAAGATCTCTTTATTTGGAATTGGATCGATCTATGGAATTATGAAGCCTTCTAAGGATAAGAACCTTCTAAGGCATTAAATTTTTGAATACAGTAGTATTTTAGTATTCGGAAACAATGATTTAAACGAATTTTGCGTTGAAAAAAGATTGTTAATAAATTTAATAACCGAATTTCTAACTATTGCTATTCGTTTATTTACTTCTTGGTCGAAGTTTCATATAATATATAAGGTAACTCAAAAGATAACCAATGGAGACACTGCTCGAAACTAGCTTCGAAAGTAGCTTTTGGAACCGGGATTGGGTCCAACGGACGAAATAAGTAAAGATAGGATAAGAGATATTAGAAAAGATATAGAAATAAACAAAAAGATAAATAGGTAAAACTACCAAAGATAAGAGAAGATAGAAACAGGGTGCCACTCAATGTTTTGGGGTTAAGGAGAAAATTAAGAAACCTTAGAAAAGAAAAGAGATAAGAAAAGATATCCTTCAGAGATCAGAGATCAAACCCAAGGAAAGATACCAACAGTTAATTATCAAATAAATTTGGTCAACACAATATATAAACAAATAATGGAGTTATTACAATTATATACAAATATAGTTTGGCGTATCTTGAGATATTATAGGAATGATAATGAGCAAAAATTATAGCAAATACAAAAGATAGCAAAAATTTCTTAACTCTAAATTTACAAAAAAACAAACAGATTACAGAGTTGAAAACATTAACTAGCCAAACCGCACTTGGCTAGGTGGGTTACTATTTCGCACTATTAATTAATGCTAAACTGAGATGTTCATAGTTATTATTTATGGAAAGTTCTTGAATTGTTCTTTAAATTAAATATAAAAATCGGCAATCTACAGATGAAGATATGGATGAATGATGGGTGATACGTCCAGATAATGGCAGGTGGTATGATACCATACCATATTACTCGCCCAGATAATTTGCAGATAAAGATTATGGTAACTTACATAATTCCTGATGACGGCAGCTTAATTCACTGAATTTAATATACTGTACTGGTATTCAACATTGAATTTAATTAGGTACCATTAAAGGTAGTGTAGAACTATATATAACTTACTATAGTCTAAGACAAGAAAACTGAAATATAGAGTGTATACACACTTAGAAAATAATTCACATAGACGATAATTTCAGGCAAGCGACCATACTCAACGAGAGGCCACCGAGAAGTCTCACGAGATAATCGACCTGTGCTCAACGAGAGCCCACCGAGAAGTTAGTTGGTTCCACGAAAAATTTCACCAACTATCCAAGAAAAAAGAAGAAGAAGATATATCCCCCACTTAAAATCATCGGACAGTTGTAGGTAATTCTGAGGAAGTAAAAATTCCGAAAGTTTTGAGTTACCGGTACCAACAATTGGACATGAGAAGCAGATAATACTTGGGATTAAGTTATTGTCAAAAGATACGGGCCTTCGGCGAAAATTATCAATTTATGTAAAAGAACCTGCATACCCAAAAGCATTAGATCTTTTTATACTGAGTATTAAGACAGAAAGGATTAACTACCTTTAGTAATTAGGGAAGTCCATTATAATTTAGTAGATCCAATATTATTTTCTTATAGTAAACATGGGAATTTCTAATCATCGGCGTATCGCACGGGGGTAAAAGAAATTGAAAATAATTAATATTTTAATAATAAAAAAAATGTTACAATATTTCTAGTAGCACTTGTATGCCAAAGAAAGCCTCTCACATACCCCGAAAACCAAACTGTGTTTGACTGATTTTTTCTTCGCACAGTCTGTAAATCCTTTGATGTATGATTTTTAGAATAATATATCAAAGGAAAAAATATAGACTGCCACATAGACATAGTTTTAGAGCCATTTTTATGTTTATGATTATATTACCTAAAACGGTTTTTAAATAAAAAAAAATAAAGTATAGAAGTATGAAGTATATTATTATTACTAACGAAAGATTGGTTGGTTCATTGTTGAACACATGACCCTAGGTATAAGTACTCTAATCTATAGATCCGTCATATTAACATAAACCTTTCTGTAAATTTATTTTAATATTTTTTAATATATGACTAATGTTTACACGCTTTTTAGGTTTTATTTTCGAAGTGGAAACGCAGAGCATCCCACCGATAAGTTTTACAACACCACAGTTGAAGTAAAACCTGTACAGCCAATTCAAAATTTAAATTTTTCTAATGTTACCCAAGATGGTTTTATTATCGTAGGTAAGATCTTATATATACTTACTCCAAAGGTCAAAATCAATTATTTTAGAACAATTTAATAGATATATATTTTATACCAATATAAATCTTTTTTTAAAATTCAAAAATCAAAATGGATTTCAATATTCCATATCAATGATACATCAATCTGTTTTGATCTACTAGTTTGATATATATATATATATATATATATATATATATATATATATATATATATATATATATATATATATATTATATATATTATATATGGGAAAAAAGGAAAAATCGAGGGAAAGAGAGGCCTAGGATGGAAAAGACTATCATGGCTCAGAAACATCCGACAATGGACAGGACTTAATTTTGAACAGCTAATAAGAACAGCTGAAGATAGAGAAGAGTTTAAAATTGTAGTAGCCAACCTCCATTGAGGAGAGGGCACTTTAAGAAGAAGAAGGTCAAAGCTGACCAATTATCAATTTTTATCTGTCTTAATTTAATAAAGGATGCATTCTAAGAGCTTACCCTATGGCGTCCTCTTATTTTATCTAACAACTAAGCACTAATACCTAACATTCAAATTCACAACACAGCACTATGCTCTGCTTTTACACTTTACACTAACTCAAATGGTTTTGTTCGTTTGAGTCTTCTTTCTAACCCAGTATTATCGAGAAGCTGGATGGCCTCGATAAGTACGTGTTTTTAGAGCCGTTGTTCGTGACTACCTTGGAGTAAAAAACCGGACTCCAAGTAAAAAACCACAGAAAAACTTCGTATTGGTGGGACGAAGAAATAGAACAAGAGATTAAAAATAAAAGAGAGAAGTATAAAAATTCCTGAACACAAGGACCGACGCTGATAAGGTAGAATACAAGAGGACCCAAGCTAAAGTGCGAAAAATGATATGCCAAAAGAAGAATGAGGCTTGGGAGCAAAAGTGTAACATGATTAACACACATTTAGGAGGACGGAGAAGTACAGAAAGTTGGAAAGTATTAAAATCGCTACGACAGGAAAACAAAAGAGATATAATATCATCAATCACACCGGATCAATGGGACGAATATTTTAAAAAACTCCTAAATGAGGACAGAGCGGAATTTTTAAATAACAGTGATACCAGCAACGTAAATATCTTAGCCTCACCATTACGAATAACAACAAAAGAAGTAGAAGAAGTATGTAAGTCTTTAAAAAATAACAAAGCACCAGGACCAGGGAACATACCAGCTGAACTAATAAAATATGGCACAACAAAATTATATGAAAACCTGGCTAAACTCTTTCAAATATACATCAACGGAGCGGAAATCCCAGAAGAATGGAAGACATCATGGATATCCACCATACATAAAAAAGGCAGACGGGATCAATGTGACAACTACAGAGGTATCGCTGTAACGAACTCGATCAGCCGAATATACGGAAAACTGATTAAAAATAAAATCGAAAACGAATATAAAGATATAGAAGCTGAAGAACAGGCAGGATTCCGGGCAAGGAGATCAACGGTAGACCATCTGTTTTGTATTACACAGATTATTGAGAAGAAACTGGCCGTCAACCAGGAGGTGCATCTGTTATATGTGGACTTGAGAAAAGCGTATGATAGCATCCCACAAAACAAAGTATGGGAAGCATTAGAGAAAACCAATATAAGCGCAAATTTAAAAACAGCGACGAAACAATTGTATACCAAAACTGCAGCGGACTATCGAGAGGATTCCAAATTAGCAAAGGCCTAAAACAAGGGTGCTGCCTTTCACCGACATTATTTAAGATCTACCTCGAGCAAACTCTAAAACTTTGGAAACGCAAATGCAAAAACATGGGATTACCGATCAACAACAATATAATATACACTTTGTCATTTGCAGACGACCAACTTGTACTAGCGCAAGAGTACGATGATATAGAATATATGACAAGGAAATTAATAGAGGAGTACAAAAAAGGTGGTTTGGAAATAAACATAAAAAAGACCGAATATATGTGTATCGGTGGGACACAGCAGGACCTTACACTGGGGAATGGCGAAATTATTAAACATTGCGACGCATATAAATACCTGGGTATGACCATCACACAAGAAGGAAACGTAGACCGGACGATAGAAGAAAGAAACAACCAGGGAAGAAAAGCAATTACCCTTCTCAATAGCATACTGTGGGACCAGGCAATATCAAACAACAACAAACATAGAATAGATACAAGAGAAAACTTGAAGCAACAGAAATGGATTTCTGGAGGCGCTCAGCAGGAAAATCAATATTAGAAAGGGTAACCAACAACAGAATTAGGGAAATAATGAATGTGAAACACACAAAAGTAGATGACATTAGTACCAAACAGCTTAGATGGTATGGACACGTACAAAGAATGTCCGAAGAACGACTCCCGAAACAAATCCTAACGTGGACCCCTCATGGTAGACGAAAAAGAGGAAGACCCCGCCTTAGTTGGAGAGAAGGCATAAATCGAAGTATGAGAGAAAGAGAATTAAATGAAGACCTTTGGATGGACCGAAGTGAATGGCGACTAGGCATCGGAAGACGTAGGAGAACGTTTTAAAACCGATATATATATATATATATATATATTATATATATATATATATATATATATATATATATATATATATATAAATATATATATATATGTTCGTGACTACCTGCCATCTTCTTGATAATTTTATTTACATCTTCCATCTCAAGGTCCTTGTGGAGGTCGACATTTCTAATATACCAAGGAGCATCAACGATGTTCCTTAGTACTTTATTCTGGAATCTCTGGATGATCTGGATATTACTTTTATTAGCACAGCTCCAGAGTTGGCAACCATACATCCATACTGGTCTCAGTATTTGCTTGTATATCAGTTGTTTATTATGTGTGGACAAAACTGAATTCCTTCCCATCAGCCAATACAATTTCTTGTAACGGATACCTAGTTCCTCCCTTTTCTTTTTGATATGGGCTTTCCAGCGAAGCTTTGCCACCTATCAAGTGTGATACCCAAGTATTTTGCAGTAGATGCGTGCGGTATTTGGGCATCATTTATTTTAATTGGAATGTTTTGGATATTTTTGTTTGTAAAATTAACGTGAATTGATTTAGACTCAATTGGTTTAGTTTGATTTTCCATTTTTTTGTCCACTTATGGATTTTATCTATTGACAACTGTAATTTTTCTACTGCTTCTTCACTGGCATCACCTACTGAGAATGGCAGTATCATCTGCGAAGGTGGCTATAGCATAATTTTCTAGTTCAGGTATGTCGCATGTGTATAACAGGTAGAGGACCGGACCAAATACACTTCCTTGAGGAACTCCTGCTTTAATTTCTTTTAAATATGTGTAAACGTCTTCTTGTTTGATTCTGAAATATCTATCAGTTATGTATGATTGTAGAATTTCTGAATATTGTCTAGGCATAAAGGATTTCATTTTATACAGTAAACCTTTACGCGATACTTTATCGAATGCCTTAGCTACGTCTACGTGAGATATAATTGAAAGTAATATTATTTAATAATTTAAAACAATATACGACAAAAACTTAATAGAATGTTTATTTTTGCTATTGCGATGTTTAAATGCTCACGTTTGAATGTGTAATGATCACAATACAAGACTGTATAACAAAATATCTATAGGAGGGGTAGTAATAATCAGTCCTCGCATCTAAAATTATACCTTTTAAATTTGGGTAATTTCCAAGGCAGCACCAACTATTTCATGAATGCGCTTCTGTAACCGCAAGCAACGATAGTGTCTAACGAAAACTATTCACAAACAATAGCCGGCTTATTACTTTCTCTTACGGTAAATTTTATAGCCATTAAATCATTTTCAAAAAATATTATTTAAACAAATGTCGCGAAAATGTATAACTAACAAAGTTGTTAGCAGATTATGACATATGGCCTATGTATAGCTAACAAAGATGTATAACTAACAAAGATATTTAGAACAGGCCTAGTTGTGTCAAAAGACCCGTGTCTTTCAATACATTGAACGCTGTTTAAGTCCTTAAAATCTAACACACTAGGTATATAAAACCGAAACTGTAATTAATGAATAATAAATAACTCTACCAATACGTGTCACATATATATAATTTTTTGATTTTTATGATACATCATTAAAAAATACATCTATTTATCTATTTATCTAATTAGCCTTAAACGCCCACTCTTGGGCATAGGCCTCCCCTGTTAATCTCCATTGGTCTCTATTTTGGGCGATCTGCATCCAGTCCTTTCCTGCCGTTCTCTTACGATCGTCAGTCCATTTCATCTGTGGTCTTCCTCTTTTTCTTTTCTTTTCCCATGGTCTCCAGTGTAGAATTCGCTTATTCCATCTTTCATCTTTTTGCCATGCCAGAGAGTGTGACCGGCGAAGTTCCATTTAAGTTTTGCAACCTGTCTTGATACATCGTTCACCTTTGTTTTTTCTCTGATCCATGAGTTTCTTTTCCTGTCTTTAAGACCGATACCCAGCATCTCTCTTTCCATTGCTCTTTGTGTTTTGGATATCCTGTCGATGTTCTCCTTTGTGAAAGTCCATGTTTGTGAGCCAAATGTGATAACTGGTAAAATGCACTGGTTGAATACTTTCGTTCGCATATATTGAGGGAACTTTTTATTTTTTAGAATATATGATAGTTTACCAAATGAGGCCCATGCTAGTCTAGTTCTTCTTTTTATTTCTTCTGTTTGATTGTCCCTGTTCAGCTTTATTATCTGTCCTAGATATATGTATTCTGCCACCTGCTCTAATTTATTCTGTTTGACTACTATTTCTAATTGGTCTTCTTGGTTTGTCATAGTCTTGGTTTTACTATAGTTCATCTCAGGACCTACCTCTGTCGCTTTTCTATCTAGTTCCTCAACCATCTTCTGTAACTCTTCCTTCTTATCTGGAATCACGACTATATCGTCTGCATATCTCAAGTGGTTCAAGAGCTCTCTATTTATTCTTATTCCGTATGTATCCCATTCTAATTTTTTAAATA